GTGCTTATTCTTTATTGAAACGAATGTTGTGCTGTATGTTGAATTCGTGGTGTTTGCACTTTTCGCTTCAATCTTCTGAAGCCTTTTTCTCCGTGAGAACGCCGACACGAAAACACACGCGGGGAGAAGGAACGTGCTTAGCATTGTTCGCAGGCGCTGTTATCAACCATTATGCGGTTTGCACGTCACACGAGGGCTTTGAATGGCGTCAACCCTTTTCGAAGCAGCTGCAAACCTAATCTTTACCGGAACGTGTGGGAGGGTGTTCCTATTGTTCACACGCGCCTTATCAGCCGTCATGTGGTTTTGATGCTTGTTTTGTTGTCGCTTGTTTTGAGGTTTTCTTTATTGAAACAGATACTGGGCTGTATGCTGTATGCCGGATTTCAGGCATACAGCATCAGAGGGGACACATCGGCATATAATCGAATGTTCGGATATATATTTTGACAATATAATTATCAAGCATTAATAAGAGCGGTCCGATTACCGACCTTGCTTTACACTTGATATCATTTTACATTAGGGAATTCTATGTTGTTAATAAATATAGTCTGTTTTTCTTAGCTCAAGTAATCGCCAATCCAATTATAGGTATGACCAGGCATTTGTAGTTTTCTTAGATTGGACAAGAAAGAAACGTAGAAACATGTCGAAGATCTTTTAAACGGGAACTCCGCCGACTTTTTGGTAGACTTCGATTTGGCTGGGAATTAGCAGACCGCGTCAATAACCCTTTCTCAAATGATAACCAAAATATTTTAAGAAAATAAAAATTTTCCGTGAAGTTATTGAATTTTCAAATTACGCTGGCCGCGAGGGTTTTAGGAGGCGACTCTCCACTGGCAACAATGAAAAATCCCTACTTTTCTCTACCCGCGTAAGTCACGAATGTGCTGGCAGACGAGCGGCTCGGGCAGCCGCGGCCCGCGAAGTGGCTTTCCGGACGCCAGCGATCGAGATCATTTTTCCGCAGCTTCAAGGTTGAAAGTTCCTTTGCAATGGGTAGCAATATGTGCTCCGCGGTAGATTGTAGAAACAGTGCCGGGAAAAAGCTTCTTTTTTTACCCTTGTTTTAGTGGGAGAAAAAAAAAAAAAAAGCGTTCCCCGGCAGCAATGGAGGCCAGCCGCGTCAAGGTGCTTTTGCGCGAGCTGTGTGCCGATAAAACTAGTGTCACGTGAAACATTTTCACTTTTGCTCGGAATACTTTATAGCCGCGTGCTACGAGTTGAGTTTCCTTCAGCAGCTGGAACAGCTTCAAGAGCGACAAGCGCAAACTCAAGCCGGCTGTGACCATTACGACAACCGTCTAAAGAAGGGCGCTAATAATATCGAGAAATATAGTACACGATCTAGCACTATAGTCGACATTTTGCACAGTCATATTTGTTATTCACAACTGGTTCAGCGATCTTTTTTTATTTTTATTTTTTTATAAACACTCTATTTTTTTTCGGACGTCGAATCTAGCTCGGGATACTCTCGGAGTTCCACTCACGCGGCCAATATGTTGAAGACGAGAAGTGAAACGTCTAAACAAAGTTCAAGTCTTAATTTAAGCATGACTTTCGACATATTGCTATTCCTGTCTGCTATTACAGAGGTTTATGGAGCAGGTGTTGAGCTCCATTAAAGTACGATAGAGCCTCGCCTGGTTTGTTTTAATGGTTGGCGGGCAATATTATTTGCAGAAAAAGTGGTGAAAACGTGTTTAATTTATTCTATTGCGAAGAAATTTTAGATCGGGCTGAAAAGTTTTTTTTTAACCATGAAAATATTAATGTTGTTGAGGGGAGGCATGCCAGATTTACAGCTGATGAAAACTGTGCTAAACCAACTTAATTAAAAAACATCTTACGTAGAATTACCCTTTTCCCAAGTGCTCTCGTGGAGGGGTGCATGAACGCGTTGCATTCTACTCAAAAAGTAAAGAGAAAAAAATACGGGTACATATTTTTAGCAACGTTTTTTTAACTTATTTTTCATTAAAATATTTATGATGTCTTTCTGTACCTCACACACTATTGTATATTCAAGCAAATATTCTTTATTTTGAGATGACCACTGTATTTGTGTATTTTATACGCATTGCAAACCAGTCCCGTGAGCTGTATTCAACACTTCTACAATACCCTCGGTGGAGCAGATATTGATGTTTTTAACCCAAATTTCGTAGCTTTCAAGACTGTTGTAACTAACCTGTGAAAATTTCGTTGTGCATCTTTACCAAGGCGTCAAGCTGTTCATGAGCACAGAAAATAAACAAATGAATGAATGAATGAATTCCATTGCACCTTGATGTTTGCCTTGGTGGTTGCGAAGTTCTTTTAATCGTCATTTTAGCACGATCTTCATGACCAGTAACCTGGCATCTAATCTACACGAATGCAGTTCATTCTATTCTATACATTTCGTTGTTTACGAGAATCTCAGTCTACATGTCTTAGGTCCCAGCCCAGCACGTACATGTTCATCGCTTTGGAAGGCGAGCAATGTACGCGCCACACGCACGAACGCTGAAAATGGCATCGACCAGAAGCGCTTTTCAGAAATGGTCTACAGATCTTTTGCTAAATTACTTAAGCACCAAAAAGCATATTCATGCCACATGAGTAGTTACATGTGCTGACGCCTGCAACAGCAACTTTTCAAAAGGAGATCTAAAACAAATGGCAGGTTCCTTCAGGTCATACGAGCGTGTGGGGCATCTGTACCCACATTCCGAGCATTTTCTGCGGTGCTTTGGCAATTCGTCAAAAAATGTATTGCGTGACCCTTCGACCTTTCTTCGCCAGCTATCTTCTAATAAAAGGAGAACGGGTTTACTGGCGATATTACGAAACTAGCGAGCCGCGGCTTGAGCATAGCGAGTTGCAAAAACGGTTTTATGAAAATTCCAATCGCTTCCGTTTTTCTTTTCTTTTTTTTTTTACTTTCTTATAGTTAGGCACGTAGGCCAAGGCCGTACTTTGCGCAAATATAGATAGTTATCAGCTTCGAACAGCACGAACGGCCAGGTTCTTTTGCTGTTAGACGCGAGAAAGGCGGGCGCCAGCGCACCCGATTGCCGGCCGCGCGCCTCGCTGCACACAAGTGACGTCACGCTTGGGCGGCGGGGAAAACTGGGGAAAAACTAAGGAGAACGATGTTTCGGTTCCGGCAACAAACAAAATTATCACTTTTTTAATTAACTAGAGCGAATCTGGGAGAACGACATAGCATTTCGGAATCAGGAAGCCATCCGCATTCAGATTATGCCTTTGTATTAGGTAGTTCGAAATGTCGGCGGAGTTCCCCTTTAAGAGTACAGAAAAAGGCAATCAACATGTTCATCATCGTCGTAGCATTGTACATTGTCGTGAAGAAATTTCTGTAAATTAGTAGTACAAAAAAAGCCTGAGCGAAAATCCGCAGTCCATTCTTTAGATTGCGAGTAACCACTCAAAATGGCGTTGTTAGCGAAAATGACACTACCCCATTATTACGGAACAGTACATGAAGCACACTTTGTGCACCTTGTTGTAAATGGCTTTATTGCAGATATATCTTGTTCTGAATTTCTTCGGGAACTGTGTAATGAAATTTTCTCGAGATGTGAACTTCGCGGAAGCGCTCATCCCACGCCGTGCTGTCACTTGAAACTACATTAACGAACAAAACGACGGCGTAGGTTTCAAGGATAATGGACGCGTTGGAACTGCGAGATAGCTTACTGCTCCAAACTCCAAAAAAGGTCAACACGTTAAGGAGGATATTCAAGACGCCTGTGTTTTGCCTACTAGTTTCGCAGTGACACCTGGCAAAGAGCACCCGGAGCGCAGTGTTTCTAAAATGCGAGTGTTTTGCGGGAACAAATTGGGCCAGCGCCTCAAGTTAAGAAGCGCCACATCATTGAGATAGGCTACCCACCCGACGATAGCCCGAATAAAAAATAAAATAACCTATATGTTTGTATACAAGGGCTAAAATTTCTATAACACAAAGAATGAATTCTGTTCAAAAGTGATTCAACAGTCGTTTCAAAATGTAAGGGAGGTTTTGTTTATTAATTTTTTCACTAAATTCAACAAATAAATTGATGCCGCGTGACCTGTTGTCCCGCGACATTGTTGTATTGCACTACACTAATACTTAACACCGTGGCTTCATGTCACGTGACCTTGCATCACGGGATGTGGTCACCTGATATTGCATCAGGGCGTCAAGTCGTGGTGTAAAATCATATTCTGACGTCACCCGTCTTCAGTCGTCCCGCTAAATTTAACGGGCATATGCGCAGACGGACAGACAGACTGACAGATTTGTGGGGTTTGGCGGTTCCACTAAAAAACCGTTCATTCTCTAAGAAACGTAGGGAAACCAGACTCCTCAAAAAAAAAGCAACACTACAGCTAAGATGAAGCACTCTGCGGTCTGTATATGAGCAAATACGCTGTTCTACGTCTATGAGAGGCTCCTCAGCTCCCGATATTCGTGCCCTGTGAATCTACCGGTTTTATGGTCCTAGTTGATCTCGTCCATTCGAGTAACCCGTCTTGTCGCTGCAGCCTGTGCATACCGCCGCGATTTCGTTCCAACTCGAAGATCACGACAGGCCGGACAATTTGCGTTAGAGCTTCGGCAATCCGTCAACTATGGTATGTGCTCGACACAAATAATATAAAAATACATAACGTGTTTTTTTTTATGTTCGCGATTATTTACCCTCGTGCTCTCCTCCACAAAAAACACTGCAGCGAGCAGCAAACGCACTGAAACTCTCCCATAAGCCGCGCGCCGCCAAATATCACGTGCACAACAGTACAGCACATTGTCGCGAGATGGCAGCACGAGCACGCCCTATTCGCTGCCTTCTCATTTTGATGACTGACGGCCTCCAAGGACGACCTGATCCAGCAGGTTGCGACACGTGGTGCTCCTGTTTACGACACGTGTCCCATCGTTCTCAGTCGCGCAAGGTCGATAACGCTTGGCTATCTCCCAGTGTCTAAATGAGAGTGGCAAAATGGAAAGCCTCACAAACTTTCCGCTCGCTGCGTCCGTACTTTTAGTCGGGACTGTTTTGATCCTGCTTTACCTGTAAGTCGATGATGCATTTCTATCTTACCAACAAGATAATTGGGCAGTAACTCAATTTTACTAATTAAATTAATGTGAATTTTCTTAATGAAGTCCTGTTTCTGAAATATAATCGCTTTATAACTTTTACGTAACTCTCACTAATTGCCTCGACCTGAATAAGCTGGAATTATAATTCAGATGGTTTTGACGTGAACGACTGCAACACTTCCGTTATGCTTAAAACTATCTTTTTGTGGGACATTTTAGCACCGAAGTTTCCTTCCAAAAACACTATATCGCACCTCTGTGCAAGCACATCAATGATAGCAATTATGCGCTAACATAAGTGAAACTCTCTCAAGGGCCAGTATTCCTTAGTGCGAGTAAATTTAAATAAGTAGCACGGCGTCTTTGATCATTTGGCCCTCAGCCAGCGAATTTGACACCGGTGGTAACGTAATTTGACTTTTACGTTGAATGGCCGCGATAAGAGATAACCCTCTATCAACTGTGGGGGCGTTGAATCACAACAAGACAACTTCTATGTTACAAACAACGCATGTCACACGCACAAAAAAAAACATATCTATTGCTGGTTTACCCAAGTGCCCCAGCGCGCGCCCGACGAATGTGGATACTGTGTTCCCGGCTGCTCTCCCTTCGAAAAGCCTTACTGGCCTCACCGCGGCGTTGACGTCCTCTCAATCTGTCCTTTTTATAATTAATTATCTATGTTTATAAATTCCATTGTACATCTATTGTTGGTAAGTGTGTTTATTTCGTTCTGCGTGATACATTTTCCTTTTTTTAATATTTGGTGCTTTTGTATCTATATTGTGTCGTTTTGTCATTGTTTGTGTCGGTTGCCGTCATATTTTGTGTTAAGCTTTTATATATAGTGTTTTTATGTTTATTATGTTGCTGCTTACATCGCTGCCGACCTGAGTCCTACTATTGTCACGATGCTCTATTGGCCCTTTCTCGCGAGAGTTTAAACATGGCGGCGCCAGTGTGCAAATAGCCCTCAACCACTTCCGGTTCCGAACTATACGGTGGGTTTCGTTGTATTTGCGAAATCAAATATACACGCTATCGTTTAGTCATGCCCACTTATAGCACTGTCAGACCTAATTCACTCTTATGATAAAAGAACGACGAGTAAAATATTTGTAAATATACGGGAACCCAGTAGATAGCGCCACTAAGTTTGTTGCCACAAAAAAAAAAAAAAAGGCAAATAACGGTTTATTGTCACTCATGCAGTCTCGAGAGAGCTCTTTCGTATGTCCATGCACAAGGCACCAGTCTAGGCAGAGCGACGACGAAGCAATCGCGACGAGGGATCTCACTGCACCTCGAGCTGGCCGACCGCGCTCGCTCTGCTAAAATGGGAGACTCAAGAGTCGTTAGCTTGCTGAAGATGCAAGACGCTGCTTCGTCATCGAGAATGAAATGCACTGTTAACGCCTGCAAATCCGTTCAAGCGCTCGGCGTACCCTACACAGCGCCTGTAAACGCGCGCCCCCGCTGCATCACTACCTTCTGTCTGCGAGCTCCGGTGGTTCATCATTGCGGGGATTTGTGCCCCGTTGCAGGCACAGTATACGACGTTGCCAAGAGAAACTTTACTACCGCGGGTCTCAAATAGCGCCCAGGCTCTTTAAATCGACCGCAAAAATCGGTTCCGTAACCTATCGCGTTATGATTTTGTACAGCGTTGGCCACAGGTGGTGCATTTTTTATATAAAATTCGCAAAGACCAAACTCACCTGAGGAAAAAGTAAAAAAAGAAAAATACTTAACTCCTATGGTAACGCAGCGAAGCCACCGGTTTTCAAACCAAACGGCGCCCTATGGTTTGAAGACCAGTGGCTCCGCTGCGTTTCCATAGCAGTTAAGCCTTTTTTCTCTTTTTACTTTTTCCTCGAATAAGTTTGTTCTTTGCGAATTTTATAGAAAAAATGCACCACCCGTGGCCAACGCTGTACAAAATCGTAACGCGCGATAGGTTACGGAACCGATTTTGCGGTCGATTTAAAGAGCCTGGCCGCTTTTTGGGACATGGGGCAGATCAACGTTGGCCAAAGGTACTGACGTGAGAGCATAGCGTAGTCAACCGTCTAGTGTTTAATAGAGCCCTTGCACTGGTGTTCGGGGCGGCTCTTACGAGCGCCAGGCGTGGGTCAAATAGACTACTCTATCGGGGAGGAGATCGAACAGTCACGCCTCTAGCGGTAGGCCACCGTGCGATAGGCTTTGAGTGTGGAGACAACAAACCGTTTTGTTTTTTTTGTTTTTTTTCATCCTATAAATTGAAGACGACGATTTGGAGGCCGCTCCTCGTGCTACTGAAGCACTGGTCAGAGCGGAGAGCTCGTGCCCGGATCGTGCTAGGTGAGGTTTAATTTATTTCGTATGCTGTGTTAGTAAACACCGGGCTGTGAGGACAAGAAGCTCGGTAAAGCGACCCCTATATAGTTCAATCTCTTGCACAATAGCGCGATAGAGCGTCGTGACAACAGTACTCACTTCAGCAGCGGCGTAAGCAGCGACGTGATATACGTCTACGCGTGCACAAAAAAAAACACACAAAATATACGAAAACAAATCAGCACACAGAACGAAATTAATACGCTTACAGACAATACGAATGCACTGACATAATAAAAAAAAATAACTAACGCTAAAACGAAATATTTAGAATACTTCAACGCCGAGGCAAGAAAATCCAAAAGAAGAACAGCCAGGAGACGAAAACACCGTACCCACTTGGGTACAACAGCAATAGGTTTATTATTCTTTGAATAGTATCAAATCTTATTGTAATTATCTGCCTCTAGATCTACCTTAGTATAAATTTACACACAGCACATTTGCAATTGATAAATCAGTTTTAATTACAACTATAAATACACTCAAGAAACTGTCACTCATGTACAAATTAGCTATGTCAGTATCATCGCAGGCGGACTCAAAAATATTGCACACTAATCGCGGATCAGCCGACAGTCTAGTAAACACAAAAAATAAATCAATAAGATGAGCGGACATTCTGGAGAACGCCATAAAAATATTTAAAAAGCACTTACTTGATATTCGAATGGTTAATTTCCAACGTCGAACATAAATAACTAATTAAGAATTAATCGCGCAGGAATATAACACTAATTTAAGCTAATAGCTACACGTACCTATATAAGAGCCGTATTTGAAAACAATAGGCTACAAAATGAAATCGGGGAGGATATATATACAATAATTTTTGTGCACTTTCTATTAGTCTAGTTCGGCACTCAGGCACTCTCAAATAAGCGAGGCACACTGAAGATGTCTGTGCGCCCACAGAAGCCCTGAAGACTGTATATTTTTTTAATAAATAAATCCCAATTATTGACAGGTGATGATATCAAGTAAACTACGTCCACCCAGGAACTCCAATTATACTCCAATCACCCCAAAGCTGGCAGTGCGACGGAAGCTTTACCGGACCAACCCGCCGCCTTTCCTGACCTCGCTTTCTGCTCATGGTTAGGAGCGAATGCGTGGTCACTTGGTGTCGAAAGATCGACGCATGACTGGTGTAGCGGACGTGTTGCTTACCCGGCATTATGAGCTTAGGGGTGAACATACCATATATAGCCAATCACTTAGTCCTGCGTAATCGAAGCCACAGATAATTGAGAGTATTCGTATTGGGTATAGGAGCAAACCGAAGCGGCTGCGCGTTTGCGTTAAAGTTGCGTGCTACACGCTGCGCATGCGCGTTGCCGCCATGCACCAATCCAAGGCCGCAGTTTAGGCTCCCTCACACGCGCAGTGTGGAAACGCAATGCTAACGTAGACGCACGTGCTTGCGTTTGCTCGTATACGCAGTAAGCTCCCTAAAATGTGCGTATATAGAAAGCTTGGAATTAAGGCTTTTTTACGATGGTTTTCAGATATCTTGCCCGATTTCGAAACCACTGGAAGAATCAGCACGTCCCGCATGAAAGCTATGCGCTCCTTTTTGGACCGATGTTAAAGATGCTATATCAGGTAACCTTGTAATATCAAGCACTTCTACTTTGGCGGCCTCTTCAGCAAAAACAATGCATTGTGCATGCTTCAGACCTATTTAAAAAGCATTCATTTTAAAACGATACTACATATTTCTGCTCAAATGAATACAGGCAATCTTAATTTTATATACTTCACTGTTCGGCTTACCAGGAAATCTAATATTTTACGTGACAATCCGCTAAACATTCGAACACATTATGCGCAATATTTGTCATATCGGTCTATTTTTCATTGAAACAATTAAAAGTTCAAGGAAAAGAAAACAAAAACACTCAGGATGCTATCTTGAAAAGTATTGCGTAACTTTAAATCGTTCCTGAACCAATATTTTGAGTGAAAAGTCTTAATCGTAACGGCCTTTATGGCTCACCAGTTAGTTACAACTTCCGTTGTCGTGAGTGAGACCGTGTCCAAAATTTAAGAAGTCAAAATATAAATATTGTACAAAACGTCTGGTGCCCATTTTCGGAAGCTCATTTCGTGACGTCACGTCACCTTCCCGGCCTGGTAGGCCAGTTTGGGTAGGTGTTTTTCTCGGTCGAGGCCAGGTGACGCAACCTGCCGCCCATTACAAGGGGCATAGCAGCTGGTTACGCATCCCTCCGGTATTTGGAAACCTCGGCCCGTTCTGCGCCCTTCAAGCGTGCTATACCTGCCCGTGCCTCGAGCAAGGACCTCGGCTGTGCTATGCCGACGTGCGGCAACAGCAGCAGCAGCAGCACAGTACACTCTAATGAGGAGCCGGAGCATGTACCAAAAAGAAAGATGCCTAATGTGCTTCCATACAACTGCGACCCGTGCGCGTCCTCGTCGTCGTCATAGCGCGTGCTCAAAACGATGCATGGTCAACTTTTTTCTGGCCTTTCAGAAGAAACGAACACTGCAACGCGTGTACAGCCTTCATAGGTGCTCAAGGTCCGCGATCGCAGCGGTCCCCATAGCTTTGGCTTCACTGCCTTCGAGGAATGTACACGGATGCACGTTCATCAGCTAACAATATGGCGCCCCGGATACGTCAGCTCCGCCAACACTACACCCAGAAGGATTCGCTCGCACCGTTTGTTTTCGGCTGACGGTTCGCCCAATCAACGCGATCAGAGTATTTCGGTCAAGGAAACACAATGATTCGATCATGATTCATATATGTATCATTCATATCATTCATAAGTACCTAACTCCAGCAAGCCCAAATTCTCCTGCCATTTGCCAAAATACTTAGGAATCGACACCTCGTTTGTGTTATTTCCCTGTTTGACAACCTTTGAAGTGGTAGAGGTTTCATATCGTGAAAAACTAATATTTAGCAACGAAGTATACAAGGGCAACGGCATGTGGAGCTTTCTAATTCATATAAACCCTGATTTGACATTTTTTCACGCATTCAAACGAAACCGGAATTTTAATAATCATAATAGACCACCTTGTTATCTCGTTTTTCCTATACACAGCCATTTCACGATATCGACATCGAGAGATACAGGAAATATGGAAAAGTTTTCGGGTAAATATGAGACTTAAACAAAGTCAGTTTTTGTCTGTCTTGATCGCATTCTAACTGATTTACTGTTATGTGTTTCTTGCACGCAGCATATTTGAAAGTGGGAGGCCCTCACTCTTTGTCGCTGATCCCAAGTTGGTGAAGCGAGTACTTGTGAAGGACTTTTTACTGCTTCCGAACAGACGGGTATGCATCACCTGTTCTTTTTTTTTTCTTTTTTAAGATAACAACAAATAAAAACTTAACTCTGATGCCGATATTTTTTTTTTTTTTTAGACAGATAATGTATTTTCCAGCCTTCAAGTATTTTTTTTTTCTTTTTAATCTTTATAGAAGAAACCCGATAACAGGTAAAATGCCATCATCACTAAGAAACTAAAATGGTGCGACCGTTAATATTGCTATTGTGCGAGACCATCTTTTTAACAAGAGCTTCAACATTATATTGAATATTTTTTCCCCTCCTGACAATCGCAGGCACTCTAGCTTTACGTGGGGCGTTCTTCGTTACCATCGTCGAGTGCTGTCGCTTTGACAGTTGCCCATCTGTGCGTCCGTGATTGGCGTCCGTTCTGCTGTCGATGCCTCACTAGTCTGCAGAAGGGCATTGTGTATTTTCGCCTATTTGCTACTTCATAGATCAAAGCTCTAGCTCGGCGAAAAACTAAGAAAAAGTTGTTGTAATTGTAATTTAAATTTTTTAATTTTTGATGTTGAACCTAATGATAAATAAAATTACCTTTAGTCGAACATATTTAACTAAATCTTAGGTTACTAAAAATGTAGCTGAATTAGAATAGTTAAATTCCTGTAATTGAATCACTTCCCAATCATATGACAACCTGCTAACAAAGTCATTCCGACAAAAACGGAGCGGAACGCATTTTGCCTTATTTTCTATTTCTGGCTTCTTTTCTAGGCAGATGCATGAGCGCAGAATAATAGATTTTCTCTTACGGGCACCACGAAATTATTTTTTCAACTTTTTCCTCCTTAGCGTTGATCCTTCATTCAAAAGGGAAATGAAAAACTACGTAGTCGTGATGTCCCTGCGCACCGGGTGCGGCGATTTCAAGCTTCCACCGTGCTTTTAATGCGAAAGCATTACCTGGTCCCATGCAGCGAGCTGACGTCATCAGATTGAAGCGCGAAAACAGTCCCTAGTTTCCGCCGCGATCCCATAGGACCGATTCGCCTTCGGTTCCATTGGCTGGCGCGCGTCAACGGGGCTCCCATTGGCCGCTGCGCCATGGCCTCCCAGATCGCGAAGCGCGCGCGCGCTAGTACGTAGCAGACGACAAAGGCAGCGGACGAGCAGCCAACACAAGGAGCGGGCGAGCGGCTTGCATGCTTTCGCATTCACAACTCCTAAGAAATGCTTAGGTGTACCTCGAGCTTTTGAAGCACACCATCCAATTTATCATTCGCAAGCGATTTTAAGTACCGTCAAGGTACTCATTGGCCACGAACGCGAATACGAATATTCGTCGACAGATTGATTGTTAACGAGCGCATACTGTAGTGGGCGCTACTGAGGTGATGGTCCCTCGGACGTATGTCCATCGGACGGACGTAGTTCTCGTGTCCAATGCGTGAGCTGGGTTCGGCTGACGTGCTTGGGCACCGCGGATGCATCACGATGAGAAGGCGGAGAGCTTTTGAGGGAAAGGAGGTAAGAAATAGTCCGCCATATTTTCAAACGTTCGTATCGAAAGGCAGGCTTTTGGCATACTAACCCTCTCTCAAAACCGATATGCAGTTAGCAAAATCCTAATCTGAAATCATTTGTCCCAGTCGAAAATTCATTTCATGGTCCTTTTAATTCTTGCCATATTCAGCCGCCCTTCGATTGCAATAAACCGACGTGACTCTTTTTTTTTTTACGTAAGGCATATTAGTCGGACAGTTTAATTAGTGACGCTATACACCTTTCCGAAAATTGCCTTCTGGGCGCTGCCATTTTTGTCTACTGGGCTGTGAAAAGCGTTCTGAACGTCCACGGTATACCTCTCTCGCGCTGCTTTCGCGAAATACGAGACACTGTGCATGCGTTCATATGCCAGTGACTCAGCATTTTTCGTCCGGCTGATAAGCGCTGGAAAGTTCTATTCACCGCATTCGGTGGGAGTTGATTCCTCGAGGGCGCCATAGTATTTGGTGCCCCAGTAGACTTCCCGGTAGAGTAGTTACTTCTTCTTCAGCAACGCAGAGCGATCGGGTAAGAAGATTTTACTTCTGAAAAGTACCTGTTAAATGTCTGTAAGATCATGCGCGCATTATTTAAAGTACGAATAACAAAAAGATGCGAGACAAATGGAAAATAAGAAAACCGGAAGCGCGCAGGGGTTCACTGATAGGGGGCGGTAGCGAGCTTGTTTGCAAACAAACATCGGTGATTACGGCCAGCAAGTGTTCCAAAATGTGTATTTGCGAATCGGAACGCAAAAGAGGTGCACCCCAACCAGAGAACAACAGAAATATGTGTTGGGAACGCACGATAACAAGGCAACCAATTGCGCGCAGTCATTGGCTTAGGTCGGGGGCAAACAAACGCACGAGCTGCGTAATAAGCAGACGAACTTGCACGCCATATACGTAGCGCAAGTTCATCTGCTTCTTGCACACCTCGTGCGTTTATCCCCCAAAGTTGCCCACGTGCTTCTCATTGTTTCCCTCGCCCCGACATCAACCAAGATGACGGAAGCTTGACTGGTTGACGGAAGCCTGGACGGCAACGCAAGGATGACACCAGCTTGTCGCGATGAGGCTCGAAAAACAGCGCGAAGCATGGAGCGTCTTTTACCTGTTCTCGAGTATACGTTGCCCTTTTGGCTGCAGCTCGCCCCTCGTTGCGTTCCGACGCGAAAGAGACGCAGTTTAAAACACTACGCCGCAGACAACTACGCTCCACCCCGTCTTTGTGCGTTCCCGGCCACCGGCTAAACTAGACCAGTAATTGAGCCGCTGATTCCAAACAAACGTACAAAGACGACGAGCGCCCATGACAGTGCCCATATGGTTGGCACCAGCGGATCGTATACCGTTGGCTGCGGCCGAACTTTATGTGAAACTGTGATGCTGGAGTTTCCGCGTCACCTCCGGGAGCCCAGCGCGGCGCGGAGTTTGGGTACGAGTCCGGTGTCGTCGTTCACCTGACACTGGTCCCCCTCACGTTGGATCACAAGTCAGAACCGAATGATGACACAGTACTCGTGTGATGTCCTTTGGTAGGTTATGTAGACAATTCGCCGCTAGGCCATGCGGGTATGCGTTGGGGAGGCACATACATGCCTTGTCAGCGATCGCGAAAGTCGCTGAAGACACCGGATTTATGTAACTGAATGCTTCATCTATAAGAGAAATGAAAACTGAAAATAGAGTAAAGCCTGAACCACATGTAAGCGTTTTAGCGAGCGACGAGACGAGCGACGGCGACAGCGGCAAGGGTGGGTGACTAGCGACGGAGAATTCTCACTTTCGCTTGGGTTTTGGATTTCTAGGAAACGTCGCTCATCGCCTCGGTCGCTTGCTCCCGTCGCTTTCATGCGGTTTGCCTCGTCGCGCGACTGACCGAAAGACAGCGATTGGGTCGCCGTCGCTTGCCTCGTCGTTCGCCAAATCGCTTACATGCGGTTTATACCCAAGTTATGAATTTAAAAAAAATAATAGGAATGTGTAGCTGACCGCAGGCTTTAAAGCAGCAGACATTCTTCTATGTGTCACGACCTGGTTATGGGTATTTAATTTGTCTAGATCTAACTTTACATCATCAAGCCCCTGTTGAAGACAATACACAAAACCTGCGCTAATTCTGTACTTTAGGGAAGCACCTCGTGCATATTTAAGTATATTGATCCACAATTTAAATATGCGCAGCATACTTTTCTTATATTTCAGTGTTGTTTATGTTTCAGCAGTGCAAATGCTCATGTATACCGAGTCATGCAACTAATTAAATAACTGGGGTGTAGATATAGGATATATTTATAATATACCAAGAAAAAATTCGAGATACGCTTTAAGTATGCTTTCGACAGCGTTCACTTAAACTCGAACCTAATCTTGTCGTGCACTGCTTTTTGATAACTTTCCTAGATAAACTTAAAGGACCTCGAATGCTAAAAGAATGCCAATAAAAAGCAAAGATAGAATATGTGTCTATGCGCTTGACGCAGTATCCTGATGCAGATTAAGACCACTTACCTTAATTGTAAGGTTGCCAACTCTATAGCAGCAGATACCCCTACCCTAAGTGAGCCAAGCTAGCAGGTACACCAAAGAAAAGCCTAACTTAGCAAAAGCTTTGGCATCCTGGGCCTAACTTGGACCTTAAATAGGGTTTTGGTCCAGGCATTACCACACAATTGCCAAAGTGTGATTTCAGCCATAGATGCCAGGTACAAACCAAAGAACAAGCTGTGAAGACAAAATGTGGCACTTGTTTGGCAATTTAAGGGCACAAAGTTGCCACACAAAAACCGAACAACCAGAAGTGAAGCCTTTCTATGGCACTCGTTTGTCGATTTAGGCCCAAAGATGCCAGACGACACCAGGGTCCCTAAACTCGTCAAACACAAAGTTGGAGCCAAAAGTTCGCGGAGCGCGCCGATTGGACGTCGGCGAAAAAAGCGTGAAGTCATCGTCGTGATAGGCCAGTCGGTGCGCTCCGTCGACCTCGGCCCCAACTTTGTGTTTGACGAGTTCAGAGTTACAGAACTACCTCCACGGAAGCCCAACTTTGCCACTTGTTTGGCGAATTGAGGCCAAGATACCCAGACTCTGACCAAAGAAGCTCGAGTTTGCGTTTACATTGGGTCCTCCGGGCTTTTTGATTCCTTAAAATTCCAAGACAAAAAACAAAATTTTAGCCCGAAAAACTGTGCCGCCTGGGACGTTATGCAGGAATTAGGCAGCTTGATTTGAAGATGACCTAGCAAAAAAAAGTAAAATACTATATTAATTTGCAATATTGTGTGCTTCAAACAGACAACAAAGTTTCTTCATCCGTTACTGGACAATATGCTGTTCGTCGTGCCATTCGATCGATGGAAGGTAATTCGCCGAATCTCAACCCCGGCGTTTTCTTCCGGGAAACTTCGAAAGGTAGGTAGAATATTTTGAATGACTACCACTTCATTATCTTGAAACGAATTTTCCTATACATTATAAGTTATTACGAAAGCTTTTTAACTCGGGATATCAATAGCACCAGCAACCTAAGTGTACAGAACTTTGTTGTAACAAATATTGAAATCCTATGAACCCAAATAAATTTCGCACCACTCTTTGTTGTCGCATATGTACGCCGTTGCACTATATATTTCTGACATACTTTCTACAAAATATTTCATGAATTTCGGAAACCTATCTATACCTTTAAAAAGCGTTTTTTCGCCCTGATATGGCCATCCACCTGCCTTGAATATTTAGGTTGCTTATTGGTAATGAATAACCATGTAGTTCCAAAGCGGCTGCATATATAATGTTCTGATCACTCGCTTTTTATCAAGTGCAAACATTTTAATATTTTCTTTTATGTATATATATATATATAGATGATGGTCCACGTTGAATCTTGTACGAGATCTACAATTAAGCACCTTCGGGAGGCAGCCGAAAGATGCGAAGATTTGAATCTCAGCCAGTGAGTATATTTTGCTATAGCTCTCGGTAAGTAACTTATTCACATGATGTCTTCCCCTGCTTTTCAATAGATTCTGACGCAACGTTCGTTTTAAGTTCTTAGCGGTTTGATTTCGGACAGATGTTTCAAACTAAAGATCACACCAAATTTAAGGTTTTGTTTTATTTTTGAAGTTACATTTTATCTTATAGATAATAGCAATTTCAATATATCAGAATCAGGCGTTTATTGCATGCTGCGTAACTTTGAACACCTAATTGTCTTATGCATTTTCTTTTTGGTTGAGTCATTAAAACTTCAAAGGAGAATAAACAAAAATGTTTTGAAGCATATGGCACAAAAACGTCTTCCAGGGAAGTAATAAATTTAGGTGACATCCTTACAAATGAAAGGTTAAATATTGCGGCTGAGCTACAGGCCAAGTGTACAAAAAGAAAACCTTGTTTTTGTTGCCTGGTACCAAACAACGCGTGATTTATATTTTGAATGCAGGTTTTATGGGAACTTCACACTGGATCTTGTGGCGCGATGTGCATTTGGGACGATGCTTGAATCGCATTCCGACAAATCAAACGAGTTTGTTTCCTACGGAACAAAAGCCTTCGGAGAAGGCATATCATTTGCAAGTGTGATCTTCTGTGGGTTTCAAGATATAATTATTATTCTAATTAACTTATCTGTTTATTCTGTTCCACTAGCTACAAATAAGTGTATGATATTATTTGTTTATTTCAGTTTTATGGCCAGGGTTGGCAAAGCTTCTGAGGTTGAAGTTCTTCAACCAGAAAACGTTGATATATTTTAAGAAGCTTAGCTTGAGCGTCATGAATAACAGACGTCGAGAAAGAACTGTAAGCAATTTTGTGATTTATTATTTTTATTGGAACCTTTCCTATATCCCATGGTGTGCTAATATTTCTTATACATTGTAACTTTTAATGTAGTTATGAGTATGGACGTTGGCAGTTATATGTATTAGGTCCTCCATCACGTGAATTGCTTTTCGCACACCCTTATGAAAATGTGGCCCATATTTCTAGGCTTTTATTTTTTGTGTGTGAAGCTAGCCCTAATTATGATGTGAAGATTTAAATTCAGGGCACTCAATTAGTCAGAGATCTAACACAGCAAAGCCAAGTTTCAGAAATTTGAACCTTATCGCCTCAGAAAAGGCATTATTGAAAATGGCTAGTTAATGTCTTAGTACAACAAACAGGTCATAATCGCAATATTAAAAACAAAACACGGTTCGGCTCTTGAGTTTACACTGAAATATATTATACAATCACATTGAAAAGAGATGAAGATATTCCTTTATAACTACGGCTGGGCGATTTTTGACAAAAAAGATACAACGTTTTCACCACGCAGACGTGAAACAGTGCACAAAGATCTAGATGAACTTTTGGACTAAAGTGAAGTGTAGGGACGATATTTCTAACTCAAAGCGAGGCTATGGGGGTATGTCTCGGACACTTCTACGCCGTACGAGTTTCCGTTGGAGCTCTTCGCGTTTGCAAATGTGAATGTCTTTGAACAGTTCTAACTTCTGAGCTACACAACGAGGTTGATTTATAATCAAAATTGTGCAGGAACGGCGCCGGTTATCACATATTCAACAACAAACAAAAATTATGCATATGCCTTTTTTTATGAAGTATTTTGCATGGAAACGAATGACACCGATTAATCGATTAATTAATCGATTTATGGGGGCAAGAATCGGGCACAAATTTATGATCGACCCCAAGCCCCATTAGGAAAAAGGGAGGATGTGGTAGTATTTCGTCTGAAGACATTTTCTACCCACGTGTTTTTATTTAATATGGCCTATGAGGTAGGCATTGTCCAATAGGCTTGTCTTTGTCGTTATTGTAGACTGATCGTTCCAGTATATACTGCATATTTAATTCAAAATTCCTCACAAAATAGCTCCTAAATATATGTGTTCAGCAAAAAAAAAATATTCTGTAAGAATATCAACATATCTTATGCCAAAACTTTTGCCCTTTTATTTAGAGGCACTGGCGCCCTGTTAAAACCGCAATACTCTTATTTGTAAGTAGAAAAGAAAACTTAAATTTCTTATTTGACTGACTAAATAAAATTTTTCATTCAAGAGAAAAATTAACTGCTACAGTTTTTCATTTTTATATATTACATTATTATGGCACCTGAAGTTGCCAGCATAAACTATTTGTACATAAAAAAACCTCTTAGTGTCCTCAGTATCAGATCCTCATTATATATTTCCAGAAACAAGATGATTTTCTACAACTGATGGTTGATGCCCAAGAATCAGACATGCTATTTGGAGATGTGGAGGAAGAAAAATACAGCGATTTCGATCATGATTCTCAATTTCAGACTGACAATGCTATGACGTCGAAAAGTAGGAACTATTATTCTGATATTAAAATTTTAGTTCAATAAATAGGCTGGAATGTGGTCCTACCTCCATCAGCACTCGCCTTTTGGCAGCAAACTAAAAAATAGAACCATCGCGCGTTTTAAAACATATATACTTTTAGGGTCTAGAATAAAAAATTTCGATATATATTTTCTCAGTAGTGTGCCAAAAGCTAATTAAACATACATCGCTAAGATCCTCCGCATATTAAGACATCATTAACGTGATGATTATGCACAGTTCCTCTCCCCGTATGTATCACTTTGTTAACGTCATTTCTCATTGTACCTAAATGTATTGCTTTTTAGTACGGTACTTCAAACACTGAACTAAAGAACTTATGGATCAATTTAGTGTTGTGTAAAAACTGTTAAATTATTTTCAGTTTAAAAAATCTTAGTCCCAATAGAAAAAAAAACCGCGCCTCGGGGATTTCTCTTACTTTTTAAAGGGACGGAATACCCTGGGTGTGTGTTCGTTGATGTCTACTGATGGGTCACTAAGTTTATTTCTTCAATACTTTTATATAATATTTTTTTTAACACACGAATAGACTTTCTAATAATGTGCAAGTACCCGAGAAAGAATATCACCATGAAGGTAAACGCTAGAGTGCTATAAGTGTTTAGAATTTTACGATTGCTTTAGAGAGATCGAAATGCGAAAACGCTGTTGAACTTTGTGGGAGCCCAGTCACAGAACACATTTCTTTCACTCAGAACTACATAATATTTCTGAAACGGCAAGCAGTGCTTATAGTCTTGAGGACGCGCTACTTACGCGTCTTTTATGTAATATTTTATACTTTTAATAACTTGGCAGATTCTGTTTCTTTGTTGTCAGAAGCGCTTTGCAACTGGAAAACCTCCAATGTAAACTCAAATTCGCTGACGACTTGCATAATCACTGTGACTAATCTTTTTGTTTCTGCAGTTCTTAGCGAAGACGAAGCATTGGCTCAATGTATGACTTTTCTTTTGGCTGGGCAAGGCACCACGCAAATGACCATCGCCTTCACGCTCTACCTGTTGGCATTGAACCAAGATGCGCAAGAGAAACTACGTAAAGAAGTTGACGGCTGCTTCGAGAAACATGTAATTTACATTTACCTCAGTTTCACCCATCTAATGTCATTATTAATAGCTTTTCCATGATTATACTTTAACCCGAGCGCGTCATTTTGTTAATAATAGCTTTATTCATCATTTATGTATGGTGGGAGTTTAAGGCCAAGTATGTCCAAGCAGTTTCGCTGGTCCTCATCCCCCGTCACACAAAGGGTAGTGGCGATAGAAAAAATGGATAAAAAGAACACAATAAATTATACTATATTACAAGGTACTTCCATCATGAAAATAATGTAAACGACCAACAACGTGGTTAATGTAGCTTCTGTAGCCTAAAAAACTCGAGTGATAGTATGATACAGTCACGAGCCGGAGCGAACCACCTTAAATAGTGCATTCTTGTGACAGGTGGTACTGAGCTGCTTGAGCTTCAAGTCAGGATCGCAATCAGCATATATATATATATATATATATATATATATATATATATATATATATATATATATATATGTGTGTGTGTAAATATATATATATATATATATATATATATATATAGCTCTGCGAGTACATACCAGTTGTTTTTAATTTTGATATACTTTTTTAATGGGGTGGCCATTAACAGGCTTCGTCTGCAGTGCGTGTTTATCGGGCTCATAAAACCATATATGTGGAATAATCGCCATGAGCATTAGCGTTTTTAAGAAATATATAGATTAGTTTCATTTAAATTTTTGTTTCACGTGAGAATTATTTTAACGTGCTTATTCTTTAATTTGGATCAAATTATTACTTTTCACATTGCGAAAACGAGCTTTGAGGTACTCATCAATCGGACTGTGATTTTTTTGGCCGATTTCCAAAATGGATCCAAACGAAGTGCCGCTTGCCCTTCCCGCAACCACGCGTAGAAGAATTGCGTAATCTTGATGGGCAGTAGTGTGTGCTTGATGATTGACATTAAGCGGGTGAGATAATGGTGAGTTTTAGTATTGCGTATACGAGTGAATGAAAGCACCGTAAGCGCATTCATTTTAGCATTGCGTACTCCTCATTGTGCCTGAACGGAGGCGGAACTGCTGTTTTGGATTGGCTCATGGCTACGACGTGCATGCGGAGCGTGGAGCACGCAATGCAACCGCAAACGCAGAGCGCTTGCATTTCCTCCTATACGCAGTAGTAAAACTCTCTAATGATACGGTGCCCAAAATGAGTATTTGGCGCTTAACTGTGGGCAGGGCTTGCGGCGCTTCTGCATCAATTTTCGAACTCTGGTCACAAAAACGCTAAAGCTGATTGGTGGCCACCGCAAAGACCTTCGCCTCCTCGTAAATTGTTTAAGTCGTTTCAAATTTTATTCATGATTTCCCTCGAAACCAGGATGGCAACATTCCCAATAGAGTTAATAATTAAGATTGTAATTAAGAAAGTTAAGTTTCTTTGACAAGTGAGTGATCATAGTGTCCATATATAAAACCCGGCGAGCTGGAAACGCACTTTCTCGTTTGCAGATGTCTGATGTCTGGTTTCTGAATACACAATGTTTAATAGCACTGAAGCTTTTGTTTTGTATCTTACCCTCTAAAAGATGGAAATGTATCTGCAGTGTGATTGGTAGAATGTTGGCTTTTATTGATATACCATCACGGGATAAAAAAAAAGCGTTGATTTTATAGTTTTTTTTTTATACTCATGCTCCTTCTTGTTTTACATTTTTCATAGGGGCCAAATCCAGATTGCGACGTAATATTCAAGCTGCAATATCTTCATGGAGTTGTTTCTGAAACATTAAGAATGTTTCCACCGGGATCAAGGTGAGGTTGAGCGGATGGCTTCGCATTAGAACACTTATCAGTATTTACACAAATATTTATCGATAGCTATATATCCTTTAATATCTAATATTGCTTAATGATTAGGTTAAGATATAGTTAATATCTTCGTTTTCCTTTTTATCCAATCATTAGTTATGTCTCCATATGTGCTTCACTCGACATAATTATTTAGCTTTTCTGTGCATGCATAGTTATTGCAGTCCAATTAATATTGCCAGAAGAATGTAACTGAGTGAACGAACTAGCACTACCAGTTCTTCAGATAACACATCGTAATAAACTCCGGCTGGGCTGAAAGATTTTAATTAAAGCTCGTGGTTTGCTTCGTTTAATATTATTTTGCTTTCAAATATTATCTCAAAACAACAGCTTGGTGACAGCCTCAGGTGTGCCTGGAAAAGGACTAGTATATATTGAAAGCGATGTCGAAAATATTTCGATGCCGACGCCAATGAAAGTCAATAAAGAATGAAAGGCCTTGAAAGATTGTAGAAAGGGCAATACTTCTTGTTCATAGCATTTTCAAAGTACAGGTTGTACCTCACGTGTGCGAGTACGTTCTGTCGTTGTTGGATTACCAATGACATATGAACTTTTTAAAGAAGTAGCTTTCACTCAACCTCCGGAGCCGCATATGTACAAAATGTGTAGGTCCGTTGGTTTGTAAGCGCTAAACCATCTTGAAGAAAAAGAAACGGCGACCGGTTCCAAGGATTTATACCCGGTCACCGGCGTGGAAACCAAACGCGCTGCTGACTGAGCTACGGACCCAGATCGCAAAGAACGGGTGGAGCAGAAGCATGTGGTGTCAGAAAGCGCGGGGAGCAAAGGGGGTGGAATAGCAAAGAAAGGAAGGAGCAGAAACAGGTGGTGTCGAAAGAGCGCGCGGAAAAAGGTGGCCTGGAAAGGGCAGGAAAGCACGCTTTCTCTCTCTTGGTGACCCACAAAATGCAAAGCAAATGCTTTGTTTACGGCAAGTGCTGAAGGTAACCACGCGCAACGTCACAACGAAACAATGATGTGTCGTAATATGTTTCCATATAAGACCCTACACTAGATACCACCTGATCTAAGACCACCACCCACCCCAGGCACCGAGAGGCTAATGGCCATCGTGTTCTAAGCACCACCCGCACTAAGAGCAGAACACGCCCTATAAAGCTATCACATTTGAACGGGCTTGGCTGAATGACTAAACAACCAGCCAATTTGTCATTCACATTTCGCGCATACGTCTCTTTGAAGGCATGAGCGAGAAGCCACAGAAGATTATGTCCTCGGCGACACGGGGATCAAGGTGCCACGCGGCTGCGTCGTGGTTGTGCCGGTTTACGCCTTGCACCATGACCCAGAGTACTTCCCGGATCCGTTTACTTTCAAGCCTGAACGGTATTTATTTATTTATTTGACTACCAACATCGCCTAAAGAGGCATAATTGTAAAGGGGGGGGGGGGGGGGGGGGGGAGACACAGACAGAAAAATTATACACTAAAGCAGAAAGTAAATCAGAACAATAAAATAAGTAATACACGATAATTAAAAGAACCCTTGAATCTTTTGACAAAAATAAATTGTGCTGCATTACTACTTATTATTATATGACATTTATTTTGCACTAACGCCATCATGGTTGTCACCTAATATGTTGACATTACTTTACTACAACTTTTGTTTCTGAAGTCAGTAGCATAAGGAAATTGTTCACGAGACTGTAGCGCAGGTATCTGGTTTCTTAAGAGTGGCAGTTTCGTTCCGATATTCTGGTCCAGGCATTTTAGCTTATATCATTTGTAATCTAAGAACCGCACTGTAGTACGTCTGGCGGGTTACTGATTTCTGGCTCATGCATCCCACGTGATTCTTCTTATTTCATAAGATAAGCTAATTAGATATTAAATTAATTTTCGCTCAAGAATCACTGACACAACGTTTTTGTTCCAGTGCCAGTTGGTAAAACATGGCATGTGTATACGTTTTTCGTAAGCAGGCAAACCTATAACGCTTTCGGACCAAAAATATATACTATTTTTTAACTTCAATTAAAAACAATGAATGCACATTTGCAGATCGCAACACTAGCCGCTGCTGACATTGTTTCATTTTTAAATTTTACGCACAGCTGAATCCCTCCTTCCACCGATGAAGTCACTTTCAAATGGAAAAGCGTACATTTCGCTCCATGTTTACCCATAGTGTTTCCACTAGGGATCGGATCAATTTCGAGTATCTAAAATACTCTTTCTTTTTTTTTAATTGACCCTATAATATTTTTCAGCTAATAAGCGTAGGAATATTATTGTCTGCGACGTACAATAACCTTTACGCATTTCATTCTCGTCGAATGCATTCCGGAAACTCCCCTGAATTCCTCAACTTAAAAATCGGTTGCATTCTCCTCCCCCTCAAAATGAATTGATCGAATTTCGATGTCGTGTAACATACAAAGGTGTGCATAACAAGTGGCGAGTAATGATGACCGAGCATCGCTTCCCATTTGAGCTCTTTGATAGACGTTGGGAGAGAAAATAAAAGAACGACAACTTTTTTATTGCGTGTTCTCGACAGGTTTTACGGCGAAAATGCAAGTTCCATCCAGCCCTACACTTACTTACCTTTTGGTGCCGGTCCAAGAAACTGCATTGGTCTTCGGTTAGCTCTGCAGGCGGTGAAGTTTTGCCTCTTCCACTCCATACGGCACGCAGAATTTGTGCGCACGTCCAAAACAATGGTGGGTCCCAAATAATATTTGCTTTATTGATATTTAAGGAAAACCTGGAGCGGTATTAAAGAATGGTCTTTTTAAGCCTTATGTCCGGACATTCAAAAGCCAAACAGAATATTAATTTGAAACGCTGAGCACCACTAAAAGCGATAATAAAAGGACAGCGACGTTTCCTCTTCCTTGTGGTTAGTGCGGAGAGCCAAGAAGAGGGGATCCGAGAGAGAGCATAACGTCATAAAAAGAGCTTTCGGTAAATGCGCCAGCTTTCCTGACAGTTTACTGAACACTCGCAACAGGATTTGTATTTTCTCCTTTTTCTTAGGTTTCTCGCTCACCTGTTCGTTAAGGTTGTCAGCTCAGTTGGCATTTTCTTTTTGCGTACTTTATTTACCTGTGTATGTGGCTGTGCTCTTCTGCCAATTTCTATCCAGCTCGATCTAAAACGCCATTTTTGAGGGCGGAAAGGAGCACACGCTCAAAGAGCAAGTGCACCTCAAGTGACGGACAAAGCTCCGCACGCGCGCTTAAACTTTTTGTGCAGGCACGTGATTCGTGTACGGGAATTGGCAAGCGCTGGGCAGCCGGGGCTTGGATTTTCACATCACGGCTGGTGACGTTCACTGGCTTTAGTTGCCTCTTTGATTTTTAAGATTTTCGGACTGAATGTTTCCCGCAAACGGGTTCAAGAGAATTCAGCAAGTCAGTTTTTATAAACTTCATTATCTTTACTTTTTAAAACAGTATAATTTTTCAAAATTTCAAGTCACGTCACGAAATGCGAACAGCGGAGCTTGCGGTCGTCAATACATGCTGCGCAATCTAGAAACAACTAGGTACTGATAAAATTGCGGAGTGGAAAGAGGGGCTGCGAGGTTGTGTTCACGACGTACACCTCAGAGTAGGCGCACACCAACTTCCTTCCACCCCGCAGTTATGCCGCAGTGCTATCACCTCCCAGTTGCCTCTACGTAGCGCTGCATGTATCAAAGGCCACGGACTTCGCTGCTCGCATTTCATTGGTACTCGATAGTAGATAACAAAAACTGTATAAAACACCTATATTATCCGGCTCAGTAAGGGTAAATTTGTGAGTTTTAATTTACATTTTTGCTATGTCTCCGAGGCACGATCGGGGGTCGGCCATTGTGAAGTCAGAGTAACTTCAGCTTGTGCTCACAGCTTCTAAGATAACAACTGTGAGGTGTTTGCGACGTGCGTCTAGTGCGACGATTTTGCCTATTTTGCTTTACCGACGAAACATTGAATGTCCCCAGGGCAACAACACTTACGTATCAGAAATATATGGAATTTGGAAGAGATTGATAGTATGAGAACGCTTGTACTCACTTTCTTGCGGAAGAAAAAAAAATGCAGAAGGCTGTCAACGACACCCATAATGTGCGGCGTTATGAGGGTTGCGCTGAAAATGATAAGGACCACCTGAAATTGCGCTTCACCTTCAAATTCAGTACGGTGTTGTGGTTTCGGAAAAAAAGTTGTCCTAATAGAAGCACTGAGTGAATGGTACTACAAATAGGATTCTCTTGTTGATTGTGAGCTTGTTGCTTCGTGAGGTGAATGAGGGGCATAAACAGGACGTTCCACGTCACATGGCATCTCATAGCGGACCTATTCTATAGATTGATCATGGATTAAAAAAGCAACCTTTGAAATATTTTTGTTGGTGCAGGCCGAATATTAAAACGCTGGGTTACGTCGTGAACATGTATATTTAAGATGATCAACAAATAGGCAATCATTGCTTTTAGAGATGCGTACTTTAGTCTTCGTCAGATCAAAATGGATCCTTGCCTTGGTTGTTTTATTTTTATTTTATACTACTCTTACTTTTTTAATCTATAGTTTAATTTCCATTTGTGACAAATTTAGACTGGCGTCCCATATAAAGGTTAATAAATCACATCCTTCATTACTTTTCAGGTTCCCTTGAACTTTTTCAAGGGCTTCGGCATCATAAGCTCCTCAAATGTGACGGTCGGAGTGAGAAAACGTAGCGTATAATTTGGTTCGTATAAGCGTTTGATAATTGTAAAATCCCTTTTTTTAAATTGTGTTTTGTGAATTGTAATTTCTGGTTCATATATATAAACAAAACCTTTTTCTAAGCTAACTGTTGTTTTGTCTTTCTTCTCTTACTCCGTATCCGCTTGAATGATGATTGTGCCTTGTACTATCCTTAATGTGCCAGAAATATTAGAGATCCATACATGTTGGTGTGTTTCTCTAATAGAACCAGTTACCACTTCGTTGGTTCTGCTCTAACTCAGTTTGAATATGACTGCAGTGGTTCGGCCCGGGTTCAGAACCGATTGACTTGAAAGTTAGGTAATAATTGCGACCTCCAATTCGCTTTAGTACCAGTTCGACAGCTAAAATATGCCCACAGCGACATTTGGGTTCATCAACAGACCGCAATCAAGGTGAAGGTCAGACATGGTTTGTCACACATTTAAAGTGTTCACAATAAATTAAACCTGAGACGGACTGAGAAATCACCCAGCATGTTTCTGTTCCTGGTTGACAGCATATAATCCAAAAAGTATCTCGGAATACAAATACTCAGCTTCCGATCATTGAAAATGATGCGAAAATATGATTTACTTGAATTTTAACCTCTATTGTTAAAGAAATCCCGCCACACTAGATTAAAAAAAACCTCAGTATTCTGTTACCGAGAAAGCTGCATTTTCTTTTCTTTTCATGATCTGATGTTCTTGCTGTGCGACATTACTTTCCAAGTTTACGCTAAGTTCGCGTTCAGATTTGATTTCAAAAAGATGGGGCGTAACTGACCAACGAAGTTAAGATTTGCATCTAAAATTTCTTTACGATACTTTTATAGTTTGTCACAAATTAAAAAATTTCAATCTTTGTTTGAACCGTTTTATGTATCGAACAAAGTAGATCATGAAGTAGAAGTTTGCGAATGCATATAAAATTTGATTTGTACTGCAACTCTTTTTGTTTTTCGATGAATAAAAAAGGAATAGAAAAGTTTACCGACTTAAATTGTGACCTTAAAGAGTAGATTATTTTTTCTACAACTCCAGTGAGTTATATAGTGCGCCTTTTGCTTTAGCTTATTCACTATTTCTATTTAAAAAGATTGTCCTTTTTAGCTAGGTTTGTTATGACACTCTTGAACGTTATCTTATGTGTTTTTGTTATCAAAGGTCTAAACACCATTACATGTCATTATATGTTTGAACGTTATTCTTACGTCTGCCCCCTACTCATGCCCGAAATAAATTTTGCGTGTACATTCATTCTTTGACTTAAATACATGACATATGCACGTAGAAACTATCAAATAATGAACAAATAGTAAAATAAAAACAAGATATATTTTGCGGATTATCTTTGAGGGAAAGGTTTGATTTAAATCATCCTAAAAAACGGTCTGATTTAAGTCACGATTGAATCAACTGCTGTAGTACTTGTTCCGCTTTTATGTCAACCCATTTCGCTGGAGTATTACCCTATTTATTTCTGGCGTAGCAGGGGTAGGGGAAATGCGACGTTTTTATTTTCTGCTCGAATGAGGTAAGAATTGCAACCGCTGCTTCTTAAACAAAGAAATAAATGTGAAGATTTAGCAATGCGGTGTCGGTATACTAAACAAAAATTAATTTCATGAATAAATATGCAGACATTACTCAAGCTGCAGCCTTCTCACTGGTTTAATTCCCCCCTTAAATGTCATTTAGCGTTCAATTGAAATTATTTTATTTTCGTCGGGCAATGCAATTAATAATACAGGACCTCACAGGTCTTGAATCCGAAAGTGGCATTTTACGGCAGAGTCTGCACAAGCTTCCGAAAGATAAACAGGATCCGGACCAATGGCTTGCTTCAATTCCTGCAGAACAGTTACGGGCACCTCGGAAAGCGGACGCTTCAAGATTTATATGCTCCGTGCATTTTGTGGAAAGTAACTACATTGAGTTAGCAGGAGTCACAAAGGGAATCACATACCATTTAGTTGAGCAACGTTTTCTCCGCAACGTTGTTTTTTTTTTTTTTTTTTTTTTTTCAGGTATAAATGTAAAAAGAAAAAAGAAATGTGCTAATATCGCAAAATGTTTGACAAAAAAAAAAAAAACACAGGACGCCCACACCTTGTATTGAACTTAGGTCCGCTGCTTGTGAAGCGGAGACCTTTCCACTGAGCTACTGGGGGACCTTTTTTTTTTTTTTTTATTCATCTACTGAGGGAACTCTTCGTTCGTAGTAATGCAGCCGGTAGGCAGTAGGTTGGAAAGTTTGCTGCTGATTTCCACCCGGCAAAGGCACCCCCCGGCTCGAAGTCGGGCAGCACCACGCATTGGCCATATTTGCACCTAGTAAAGAAGTAGTACGCGTGCATTTTCAACTCGAAGTACGCACCTAGTGCTTGACGTTTGCGCTAGCGATGTCTTCAGCCACGAGAAGGGGCGACGGCTCGGCGACGTCTTCGTGCAAATCGGCTAGGTGGTCGGGCGGGTCGAACGGAATGAATCCCAGTTCCTTTGATCGGTTCGAAATTTCTCTTTCAAAGAAAGAAAGATTCGCTGGTACCGCGAACGATTGTTCTGAAGTTGAGGTCCCACGCAGCCCCACGCCCGTCATTTTTCGTCATCGCCGTCCAGCCCGCGAGCCCCACGATACGCGATACGACGCCATGTTGAGAATTACGCAGTGAACGCACAAAATGCTTACAATTTTCTGTGCAACTTTCTTTTTTCGATTAACATATTTGCAGTTTTTTAGAAGCCACAAAAAAATGGGTTTCATTTCTTTTTTTTTTAATATTGAGCGTGTGCCTTTAATGACCCACGACTTTGATTAAATTTGGTGGTTGAGTCTAGACCTCAGAAACGGCCCATGACCACGGATAAGAGAGTGAGCGCGACTCTAACCGGCCAGTTCTCGAAAGGTGGTTTTCGGGCAGAAAGAAACTGGAATTTCGGGCCGCAAATTCTGTTCTGGGTAGTTGGGCTCTCATATGTCACGTACAACAAAAAACCTCGGCGGGCATTAATACCCTGTCAGTGTCCCTTTAAGAATACAAACATGTATTGCACGCGTTTAAATGAACAGTAATATACACATACCCCCCGAACGAACTATGCGCTAAAATCGATCAGGTTCAATCTAACACCCTTACTAAACACGTTTCATTATACGGTACATTTTTCTCATAATTTGCCATTTGAAATAATGATGTTTATTCTTTTTACCCTGTGAATACGCGTATGTCATTTGCTATTGCTTTTCAGGTGTGCATTGTTAACTGGTGTACTAAATAATAAGAACGTTTGATATTTTCTTAAGTTTTGTTTTGTTTTGTACACTGAGCTAAAAGTACGCCTGCGTATATATGCAGTGATGTCTCGTTAATATGAACACCTCTTATCCCCCCAAAATTGTCCATAATGCAAGTTGTCCATAATAACGAAACAAAATGCATGTATTTTCCCAGTGTGTCCCCGAAAACGGTGTCCATGCAGCGGGTTCTCTATATTAACGGGGTCCAGATTAACGAGACATAACTAGGGCTGGGTGTCGATTAAAAGTTTTAACCCGATTAATCGCCACCTTTTAATCGATTATTAATCGATTAATCGCCACCTTTTAATCGATTAATTAATCGATTAATCGGTCTCGTTAATTTCCATACATAATATTTTTAATAAGTAAAAATAATATTTGTTTTCTGTTTTTGCCCTTGCTGAACATGAGGTAAAGGGCCTAATACACAAGTTTTAATATTAACCAACCTTGATGTGTAGTTAAGAACAGTTCGAAGACACTGACACATTATTACTTCAGCTGCATGAGGCAAAAGGTTCGGTGATATTATCCGACAAGAGCAACCTCCTTTGATTGTTCACAGTATAGTCTCTCTCTGCTGCGCTAAACGGACACTCAAACGCTATTGAAGTGGACGGGAGACGTGTAACCTTCTGCACCTTGTCAGGAGTTACAAATCTTCCCCCTACAGTTTACTTTTGGGCTAAATTTTTACCTAAAGTTTGCCCTTCATAAAGGTGTTCCCGTCCTTGTCTGCGTGGTGAAAGCGCTTTCTTTTTACTTTATTTTGGTTCGTTAAAATATTATTGATTAACCGGTTAAAAAGATTAATCGCGATTAAAGCATTAATCGATTAATCGGTAGGTTAATCGATCAAATGTCCAGCCCTAGACATAGCTGAATATAGTTGCTTGCATTGCTGTGTATTCCTGCATGCTTAACTGATGTCGAATGCTAACTGCCATCTTGGAGCTAAGGCCTCGTCACGCTGCGCTTGTTGCAATTTTTGTTCCAGCTGCCATCTTTCTTGTGAAATAAAATAAAGTATCGATTGATTGATTGATTGATTTAAACAAACTTGGCATCCTCAGACTCCGAGTATCACGTGACCCGCACGTACTACTTAGTGGCGCACCCTAGAGTGGTTTTTGCCGCGAGTACACACAGAACTCGATAGGCTTACGACAGACGACAAAACCTTGACCGATCTTTGTCGACGTTCCCAGAAGTTGCATCAGAGGAGATGCTTCACTTGGGCCGGCCTACTCCGAAAAGTGTGGGGGAAACGCACCCGTAAAGAGGGAGAGACGGATGGCGCCGACAAAATGAAATAACAGGGGCCGACAGGAAAGCTCGAAGGCCGCGCGTGCAAGTGAGAGGAGGAGAGATCGAAGGTCGAGGGGAGAGGCACTCACGTGAGCGAGAGTCTAGAGGGGAGGGTAAAGCGAGCAAAAAAGATAGAGGACGTCTATGGCACCGCATGGGCGTGCTTCCGTCGCGATCTATACGCGTCCCGTTGTAGCGGCAGCAGCGCCTCTGCTTTAAGCCTCCATGGCCTTCTGCTTTGTCTAGTGCCATTGCAGCAGTTTTCTTTCTCGTCGTCTGTCGAGTTCTCCATTATACGTATAAAGGTTGCCGGTAAAAGGGCAGAGATGAATTTGTTCGGAGTTTTTTCAGTTCCTGACTGGATTATATTGATCACGACACTGGTTGTTTCTGCATATCTGTAAGTATTTTTACTGCCTTGATTTTCGTGTGTGTTTTGCATAATTCGGTGGCTTCCCGTAGATTGTGAATATCTAGAAAAATAACTGGGTGCGGTGTTGTAGGCGTTGCCGAAAAAAAGTGACCAAATATGTTACTCGTTACTTGCAAACGAAAGGAACGCGTCACAAAGCTACATTACCTAAAATACAAATGTATGAGTTACCGTTCCAATACAGATGAAGCCGTAACGAGTGACATAACTACATTACCCATTACTGTATATAGGTAACGTAAGTTACATTATCCGTTACTGTTTTGAAAACCTATCCAGTATGTTACTGAATTAACGCAAAAAGTAAACCGTTACCGGTGACGCCGTTACTTGTAACGCGATGAAGCCCAGAGTGTGAGTTATCCTAATTTCAGACTTGTATTAGATTGCAAACATTTTATTAGCCTGCAATAACAATATTGAATTAGCAAAAAACGTTGATAAATATAGGCCCTTGTGATATTTTATGAAAGCAATACAAAGTATTATTTTGAGTGTACAGATAACAAATTAGAATTTATTTTATTTCGGGTAGGCACACCCTTCAACGTTAGTGTTGTAGGTACAATTAAATTACGCACGACCGTACAAGCTGTGCACAATTGTTCGTAATTCTTGTTATATTGTGATAATAGCAACGAAAAAGTAACTTTAAGGTATTTTTATGTGAAACGTAATGTTGCTAGGTATACGGGCATGAAGACCTTGCATAAGAGTCAAGAATAATTATTTTCGATTTTTGTCCGCCAATTTAAGAAGGAACGCGAAAAACATGAAAGTACTTATTCCAAGAAAAGATATACGTGGTACTTTATATAAGAAGATTAATTGTTGCCTGTCTTGGCAATGAAATGTGCCTGTTTGTGGTGACCTTAGCAATTTTTGTACGATATTCATTAGGTTCGAACAACAAAGTAACCTTTCTCTGTTTTCATGTTCTATCTGCACTTACTGCTTGTGGGGAACCTGGAGATCCAAAGTGTTGGACCAGGTTGCCCGCATTCTAAATCGTCGGTGAGCATTTTCCACCGCGAGGGAGCAAAATGCAATCGGCCACACCAGCGGCGCTCCGCTGCTGATAAAAGTATAGATAAAAGGCCGTGACACTGCATGTGCTCTTCTTTTTGGGTCGTGGCGCGTGGCGTTAAGAATCAATAAATGACTACGTGCTGCTGAACCCGTGCGTTTTGTCATTCTCCGAGACGGATAACAGCAAGGAAAATCCCACGAGCTTTAAACAAAGGTCTGTTATCCTTTTTTTTTTTTTTTTGCCCGTTACAGATTTCAGCTGCGTTATCAGAAAGTGATCACAAAATGCCAACGCCTATTTTTACACATTTCTGCGCATCAATATTGATGATATGAAGTAGTGCTCATATTACACGATCTTTGTTTTTATTCAGCTACGTTGCACGTCATAGAAACTATTGGAAAAATCAAAATGTGCCGCATGAGAAATACTCCATTTTCGGACACACTCGCCGCATGATGTCTAAGGTAGGTAATCGAAGTGTTCACTAATTTTATCCGGTTTTATTACACTTGTCGCATACGTTAAAAAAAAGTACAAGAGAGAGTACGTGTGTAACCCATTATAATTTTTTTTGTACTTAAAATTAAATAATATGTCTCCTCCTCGACTAAGATGCTGAATATGAGTAAGATTACGTGAATTGGTCACAGTCGCTCTGGAATGTAATTGTTTTCTCCTATATATCTTATATTTATAGCATTTCTATATAGGCACTTCAAGCGATTATTTTGTTAAGGTGATTTCATCTCAAGCGTGCAAGAAAATATGATGGGTCTTCGAAAATTAGGAAGAAAAGTATATATTGATAGAAAATGTGTGATTAGAAAAAACTGTTATTTAAAACGACGTAATATTTTTTCTTGAGTTTTAGGTTTTGAGAGGGCACCAGCCATTTTTGCAGTTTTCACGAGTGACAAACTTTGCGGTTTCGCAACGTTTAGATTATGCTTTTTACAACAATGATAACATTTTTACTGTTTTAAGACTTTGTGTAGAAGGCCTACAGTTCTCTGGAACTGTAGGCATTTTATGATATAAAAATTCTTAAACACTGCACCTTTGTCAATAATGGAGTAGCTTTCGATGTACAATTATCTAAGGCATAAAAAAACATCAAATGAATATTTTTGTCTAAGCCTATATGGACATTATTATATTGTTCATTTAAGTATAGTTTATATAGAAGAACACTGTAAACTTGAAAAGCTAAAATACAAAGTTCAGTGTCATAAATAAAACGTGTTTTTTCTTCATTATTGCCATTTTCATATGAAAAGATTCCTATGTGTTATTATATATGCATTAAAATTACCTTGACATATACGTTTCCGTCATAATAAACAGTGCGTTTGAAAAGAAGACTTATTTGTACCTCCTTCTATGACACATATCTCCGTCATTTATTTTTACTTAAATATTTATAATTTTTGTCACACGATCACGGTTTTTATTGTCTCCGAGTCCACACATAATTAGGTAAAGCTTATACATCGATAGTATTCATAGTATAATATCGTGAGGGGTTCGTCTGCACGTTCAATTTGCTTAATTAGTAAACTACACAAATCGAAAATCTCTTATATAATGTTTGAGCATTCTCACATGGGATTAGCAAACATATGAAGGACGTTGAAAAGTTTTCTTTGAGATAATAGAGCAGTTGTGGGGCGAAATATTGGAAGCATTGCCCGCCGAGCGCGTCAATAGGTGTGCATGATTTTCTTTATTTTTTTCTTCAAATAATTTCTTTTACACGATAGTTAAGCTAGGCTTGTTGGAACCTCCCAATCTCCGTTTTGCTATAGCCACCTACATGTTTGCGATACCAAACATACGCTCCAAACCTTGCATAATTATATGGGGTGAAGCTATCAGTTCTGATAGCATGGCGCCGCTGCAGCCATTGCCTTTAATTTTTTGCAATGAGCGCGTCTTCCCTAATTTTTCCTTTTTTATATTTCATATTTATTGTTGAGATATAAGTAACTTCAACGTTCTCATAAGCTGCATTGGCTATTTTTCTTCGACGGAAAGTGGGGGCGAAATGGCGTGGCACAAGTCGAGCGGGACATAGACATGCCGTCACCCTTTATATATTTATGAGCGTCACATCCCCTTTTAGGTATGCTGCCGTGGTTGTTTATTTATTACAGACAGGGTCACTATAAACATTAGAACCTGCTACCATATCATAAGCCAAGCACGTGATAGAAAGGAAGAAGCAACACACACCCTGTGATTATAGGAGGGGCTACCAGAGCTAAAGCTCTCGTGCTACCACCTTCGTGAGGGACAGCTTTTCCCTCTCGTTTGACTGCGATGGCAGGCTTTATTCTGTCCACATATCTGACTGTCTTTTGTGTGGTGTCTGATCGTGTGGCCCCCGCTTTGGGGACTGGCGTTTCTCATAGGTTTAAATAAACCTTGTCCTCACCTCACCTCTATATATCTGATATCTCATCTCACTTTGTTAGACACAATTCACTAAAACCAAGAGGTGGGGATAAACTGTCTCTCTTGCTGGCAGCAATATCAAATGGGAGCGGCCTAGAGTTCAGTCTCGAAGACCTTAGGAAACTTTGATTGTGTGCTAAACCAACTGAGGAGTTCGTTTTGTTTACCTGCAGGATGTGTCCAAAAGGAGACGATTTAACCCTTGCATTGTTGTCAATCAAGAACGATTAATAAATGGAAGTAACTTTGTGGGAATCCGGCGAATTCCTAAAGAAATAAATAGGAAGTAACGCATTTTGCAATGAGCTCAGAACATGAAATACAAATCCTTTCCCCCATTAATTCATGCGACGTCTTCAGCGGCTTGCCATCAGCTCAGAGGAGTCGCATCTCAATGCTCGTACCATCGTAGTGCATTTTTTTTTTCGGAAAACTGGAGTGTCGTTTTTCCGCGGGCGGTACAATGCTTTTATTAGACGAACCAAATCGTGTCTATCTTCACCTGCGTCACTGCAACGGAGCGCAAAATCTACAGCTTCGGGGTCGTCAATGAGGACTTCACGCAGGATACAGTCCACCGCATTGTTCGCTCGGCGCGCAGTTGAAGGAGTGACAAAAAAAAACCTTCCGATATTTAAAAAAAATTGTCCGGATTTTTGCCGGGAAGGTTGGTCATTTCAGAAATAGTGTTCAACTGTACCAGATGAAAAAGGTGAGGTGACTAAATTGATTCTTTAAGCTACAGGACATTAAAAAAGTGCACGTAATGGCGTGATGAGAGTCTTGAAGCACCAAGCCTACTTCCACAACCTCCGGTCGTCAGAAATGTAAACCATTCCAAGCGCTGATCATATTTCTCGTGTAGTGGCCCAGAACGTGACGTGAACTTTACTCGTCAAAACTAATGCAGCATACCTCGCCCAATACAGTGATCCAATGAAAAAGGAGTATAGTTCTTTCAAATCTTGAGAACAATATTCAATTCTGTCACTTGTGGATGAAGGCTCAAAATGGAGACGGTTTTCTGAGGGTTGTGATAAACAGAAAATGCGAATCCTCAAGTTTAATGAGAACCATTTATAATCACTTACAATGCTAAGGATGCTATGTAATGTTATGCGTTTCCACCGCTTATCTCTATTCTTTGTTTTTGCCTCAAATAAAAATAAAGCAAAGGAAGTTTTGAACGAGCCTCGTCAGTATACGTGAAAACGCGGCCGCATAAAAGAAGCAAACTTTCGCACTGGGCCCGCTTGGTCTCTGAAAATAATTTATCTCGCCCCTTCATTGCCTGACATAAAGGAGTGTGAAACATAATTTTTATGATTGTTAGCTTTAAAAAAAACGTTTCAACCAGTTTATTTAAAGAAACGTTGTGATTCTTGCGTTTTATAAGGAAACATGGACATGTGCATGAACTTTTTTATATATTATTATATAACAGTAATTAAGCATTTTTATAAAATGGTACATTAGCTTAAATAGCATAAATGTTATGGTTACGTTCCCATCATATATATTATAAATACGTAAAAGATTAAAAATTTCATCTTAGGATGATGGAACATTTTTTTTTTCATATGCTCTGCTTAATATGACGAGGACAGATATATCAACATATGCAATCTTGTGCGCAGCAGGGACGAGGACAAAAGGGGAGAACAGGCCACAACAAGGGGCAATCTTGTGCGCCTTGTTGTGTCCTGTCCTTCCCTTTTGTCGTCGTCCTTGCTGCGCACAAGATTGCATAAGATGTCAAACAAACTCGCCCAAAGAACCACTCTTCTTGAATATATATCAAGGACATTTTATTGTATATATAAAAACACATAAAGAACTCTTAATAAAAAAGTTTTAAAAAGTGGCGTTGAGTTTTGTACTTTTATCTTTCCTTCTCAAGTTTACAGTGGTGTTTATTTTATATAAACTATACCTAAATTAACAATCTTATAATTCTTAAATAGGCTTAGATGCAAGCTTTCATTTAATATGTTTCTTATGTGTTAAATAATTGTACATCGAAAGCTCGCTCGATTCAAATTTGGCCCACTATTGTCAAAGTTACAAGATTAAAAAAAAAATGAAAACGCACTATTCTATAGAACTTTAACCCTTCTATACGAAGTCTTAAAGCACACAAAAAAAAAGTTACCATTCTTGGAAATTAAAAAAAATCTAAAATGTTCAAGACTCCGAAATGTGTCACTCATGAAAACTGCAAAAATGGCACGACCTACCTTCCGTCCTTTCCAAGCCCAAAGCTCAATACCGAACTCGGTCCGTAAGTCTAATTTGCATTCTAGCTATGGTTTATGTGACTTTTTTTTTAATGTGCAGAGGACCAATCATTTCTTTTTTTTTTCACTATTTGAGATTAAATCATTAGTATAGAGCATTTCTGGCGGGAGAACTTTACGTTACTGGAAATGAAGAGGTCTCAGGTTCGATCCCAGGACCAGGCGTATTTTCTTGGTTGCGCACCAGTCATCTAGCTGTATTTGGGGATCTGTGTTTGTCCTTTGTCCCCCTTGTTCACCTTCTCCAGGGATTATTTTCGTCATCCTTGACCAGCCACCTTGCACCATTACATTAATTTCATTATCATATTAACCATAAAATGACGGTCGTTCACCATTGTTGGTATTAGACTGGTGGCAGCTGATAAAACCCGTTTGTTCTACTGACGTCTCACTCCTGGGTAGCTCAGTTGGTAGAGCGTTCCACTGGAAATGGAGAGGTTTCTGTTTCGATCCCAGGACTAGGCGGAGTTTTTCGGTCGCGCACCAGTCACCTACCTGTGTTAGGAGATTGAGGTTTGTCCTTTGTCCCCATTGTTCACCTTCTCCAGGGATTATTTTCGTCCTTCTTGTACAGCTCGCTCGCACCTTTGTAATAATTGCATTATCATATTCTTTTTAGTGACCAGTAAAAAGAGCGAGTCACGATACGCTCAACATCTGAATTCATTTCGATGCCTTCAAAGCAGGGAGTTCCGCATTTGTAAATAATATAAAGAAAACGCTATCAAAATTAAATGTTGTAAATAGAACCTTCGATAGAGTAACGTGTCTCTAAAACTTCATTATTTAGAGAGTACAGCTTAATAAACAAATAATGTGGGTATAGATAACATGAAAAACAATATCATTGCAAATTTATATTCCAGACATTTCACGAGCTTGATCAAGAGCGGTATATTAAATATGGAAAAGTCTATGGGTAAGCTAAACAATCTTTCAAAGCAGTTGTTCCTCCAAATTCCAAACTTAATTTTGGAGGGTACGTGAAACAAATGTTTCATGTAATTCTACCTTTGTTTCTTTATTTCAGAATGTTCGAAGGAGGAAAGCCTTCCCTTTTTATTGCAGATCCGGAGCTCATCAAACAAATACTTGTAAAAGACTTTCTGAAGCTTCCAAATAGAAGGGTAAGTGAAAACTAAAAGAGGTAAAATTATCTGCTATCTGGGTTTATGCTGTAGAGAAAAGCTACTGGCATTGAACGTCTGAAGAAGAACACGCGCCGACTAGTCAAATGTTGTCTCGTGAGCCACCCGCGCTTGTCCGGCGCAATACTCTCAGAACTCTTTTTTTCCTTTTTGTTTTGTGGGGTGGGGGGTAAAAAGTGCCCACGGGTTTGCTCCAGTTGTGTTGTACCTTCTCTTCACGTTTTAACGCGATAGTGTTTAGGACTTCGTGTCACAGAAAAGCCAGAGTCCACGTCGGTGGGGCGGGGAAAGCCTTATTGGTTGATAGGGTCATGACGTCACAGCAGACTTGGAAGTAATCCGTTACAAGTAACGGAATTACTTGTAATTAATTACTTTTTTTGTAATTTAGTAATTAATCCGTTACTTTTTGAAAATATAATTTGTAATGTAACCTCATTACTTTTTTCAGTAACGAATTACTGAAATTACTTGTTACAATTCTTCCGTCCCGTCAAAGGTAGAAATAGAGGGGAAGAAGGGCTCTGGTGAGGTGCTAGTGAGGGAAAGGAATTCACGGAAAGCACGACAACCCAGCCAGAGACCGTTTCTCGACTCGTTCGTACGGTCAGCCAGGCTGGGAGGATTCGACCCTCTAGTAAACGGCAACAGGCTTCGACTTCTTGGAAAACGAACGGACTGCTTCGAGCTTACAAAAGAGCAGAAAACGAACGGACCATAAAACCGTGGCGTGGGGTTCGTGTCGAGTGGGACCGTGGACAGAACGACCGTAGTGCATACGTCCGCTCCGTTCCTCGCCCCCTTTCCTCTACCCTCCTTCTTCCCTCCCCATTCCTCCGCACCTTGTTCCCCCAAAACAATTTTTTTTAACCGAAACCGTGCTTTGCTTGTTGATGTTTCCGTCTATGCACACGCTCACCCCGCAAACAGAGAGACAGCTCTAATGAGACCTTGACCTTGTTCATCCTTGAATCGCTGGGAAAGCTGAATACAGGCTGGGCCAACCAGCTATGTGGCTCCTGTCGCTTGACTTCACACTAGCGGATGCGTAGGGCTAGCGGATGCGTAGGGCTAGCGGATGCGTAGGGCAAAAACATGAGGGAGCGATGACGGCAGTTCATTGGAACAAAGAAAAATCTAGCATCAACCGTGCTATCAGTTTAAACAGTAACCTTCGACAGCAGGGATTGCTGGTCGGGGAGCACAACAAAACGGCTTGGGACATCCAAGCTGAGCCCGAGACGGCTAGGGTTCTCGTCAGCGCATTGGGTCTGCGGGAACTTAGACCGAAATTTTAGGAAAAGGAAACACAGCCCGAGTTTTCTGAGAATAAACGGTGACTCACTTGAACACTGCAGTTGTGAAGGCGCCTGTAAACGCGTGGAAGACATGGAAGCGTGCTGTTCACTGAAAATTTGGCTTTTTTAAATAATTTGTAGACGGGAAAGTTCGTTCAGCTAAGAGATTGTGCATTGATATTTCGTGTGACGTCTTGGGTCTGAGTTTGGTGATCAAGAAAGAAGGTCAAATGGGACCCATTCGGTCGGATTACAGCCTTCATCAAGGAGGAGTCTTTAAAATGTACCCAGACGCAAGTACCGCATCTTGGTCTCACAGCCAGTCAGTTTTAGTAGGTAAACCAGCCTCTATTTAGGCATCATGAAGCAAACATAGAAAAACCATATCTTCAGGGAAATCGTGGTTTGAAGCTCGCCGACGCGAAACTCGGATTAACTCGAATGGTGTGCGTGCCTCCACCGCCCAACTGCATTCGTCGCATGATCATGGGATTTAGTTCTGTCGCGGTTGGACAGCGCAAGGCTCGTTTATCTTGAGCACCTGTTCAAGTTCTTTAAAACTTTATAAATTCGTTCTCCTAAAATTATTAACCTAAAATATTGGATAGAAAGTAATGAATATGTTTATTTTTGTTTTAATTTTGATGGGGCCCAACATTTTTCCCTTCAAACACCCTGTAGATAGTGTGTATTTTTTTGTGTTCCTTTGGAGTAACGCAAAAGTAATCGAGTAAAGTAACGAAGTAATGAATCGATTACTTTTAAGACAAGTAATTTGTAACGGTAATTCATTACTTTTTAGGCCAAGTAATTGTAACTGTAATTAGTTACTTGTTTGAAGTAACGGGCACAAGTCTGCGTCACAGCCACGTGACCTCGCGCAGGAATTTTAAACACGTGAAACGTGACGTCACCCATTAAATAAAAGTGATTAAAAGTGCTATGTAATGGGAATGAGAAAGGTCGCCACATATTCTCAAATGATTTCACTAAGTAATTTATTTTCCTAAGAATTTTAGGTGGAGGAATGATTCGAACCCACGTCCCTTCTGTTGCGAGCCAGACAGGCTACCGTATATAGGCCACGCAGACACGCATGCACGGCTTGGGAACAGGCAGGGATTATATGTTTAGATATCGCGTTACACTCTCAAAGCGAAACGTTTGCTGTTTTAACGCAATAGCGTGTGGGAGCTCTTGTCGCGGAAAAAAATTAATGAAAAGCGAGCAGCGTTCGCCCCCTCAACTAGCAGCCAGAACAAGCAGCCACTTGATCTGGAGTCCATTATCTACCGCCAATGTTGATCATAGCCACGCGCTGGGGTTCCGAAAGTACCGGACACTCGCCAAGTTCAGACATTGTTATGGTTCGGCTATTGTCATCATTGGAGCTATTGGATTCTGGCCACTTCCCGAATGCTTGTCGAGCTTATTAATTATACCGAGTCCTTAATTACTAATTAAGGGCTCGGGGTAAGCTAATAATTTACCCAAACTATTAATTATCACGATCTCACGCAATGCTCGAGTGCAATCTATGAGCCGCATTCAAATATCGCCACTAGGGTACTGCGACCTCCCAGCTACGTCATAAAGTTTTGAGGAGAAATTGGAAGAAAACGTTCCCTTTTGTCCTTGAAATTACAACACAACAAAAGAGTTCTTTGGTCAGTGGCGTTGTGTAGGAGTATACTTGGGTCTCACTCGTGCCAGTAAGCTTGTGTAACATGAAAAGACCTTCAAGCGAATATCGTTCCACGGCCCCTTTAAAGGGACAGTGACAGCGTATTTATGCGCACCAAGATTTTTATTTGCACATGACATTTGAGAGCCCAACTCAGTTTGAAATAAGTTTTTGTTCCCCCCGAAAACCGTCGATGGAGAACTGGCCGCTTTAAGTCGTGCTCACTCCCTTCTGTGTGGTCACGTGCCTTTTTGTATGGCTTGCACACAACCACCAAAGGCAATCAAAGTCATGGGTCATCGAAAGTACACACTCAATATTAAAAAAAAAAGAGAAATAATAGCTATTTTTGTGCCTTCTAAAACGCTGCAAATACGTTCTTCCTCAGCAGTCCAGTTTGGGTTCCGGTTTCAAGCAGTTGCGTTTTTCTTTCTTTCTTCAACATATACGTGACGCTATAGAAAAATATTGATTGGGTAGACTTCTGAAAGTTATAAAATCGCCTAAAAAATAAAAAATAAATAATTTTGGGGGGTGTCGATTGAGAAGAGCCGTCGTGGGTTGAGACGCCTCTGCAATAAATTAGTTAAGTTTTCAAAACGGTACCCACTTTTTTGTTAATACAATCACCGGTAGCCAAGGGCCTCAGTTTTCGCTAACTAGCAATAAAGGGGGATATTGGCTACATGTGATGGATATCTTCTAATTAAATCAAACACCCTGTATACGTATCTGCAGTACTGTAGACACGTATACAGGGTGTTTGATTTAATTCGAACATCTATATTTAAAATTTTGTTAAGGTAGAGTAATGTGATTTGTACGGTGCGTTTTGCGGCCCGAGAACATAAAACAGGGATTTAATTGTCACGATAAGTAAGATAATTAAACACATTTGGTAATTATCTTTTAAAATTTGTGAAAATAAAACGATCGTTTCAATTAAAAACTAGATTAGCGTCATCCAAAGCCCCTAAATCAGTCAATTTCAGAAAGGTTTGTAGCACGTAGCAAGCGCAGAGGTGTGCTGGTGGTGCAAAAACGACAGTGAAAAAATTATCAGCCGCGTTTTCGAATTATCAGCGTTGTGCCTGTAGCACAAGTAAAATAATAATAATACGTCTATTGCATTTTTCTTATGCAGTGTATTCTTCACCACGAAAGCACCTTCACGCTTGTGTGTGAGGACAGGCGGTACATAAAAAAAACATTACATAACCGTCCAAAAATATTTCCACAGGCGAAATACCTTAAACACAATCACAATCTATCATTACATAATCAGAAAATGTTCGCCACTCTGTGGGTTGTCAAAACGTACTCAGATAACGTTAATTTTTATATAAATCTTGGGATCCCCTAAATATTACTCGAAAATTCAGCACACACCAAAACCAAAAAGAAAAAAAAATTAAGATCACTATGAACACAATATCGTAAATAAATTAGATGGAACTACGCGGAGCGCAAGTTCGTCTGTTTCTTCAGCATGGGTTGCGGTGACGTCAGAAGCCGAGCTCTGATTGGCTCCAAATGGAAGTGTGGTGGCCAGAGCTCAAGGCGAACAAGCATTGAGGTCTTCCCACTATCCCTCCATCAGAACCAATCACAGCTCGGCGTTCTGACGCCAGTGCAACTAATGTGCAAAACGCAGACGAACCAGCGCTTCGCATACACCCACATTTTCCTTACGGAGAAAAATACTATTATCAATTCAATTCAACCCCACGTTTATTATGTGCTCCATACCCTCTAAATTTCACTGCTTTATGGGTTTCAGATCAAGTTCATTAAGCATAAATTTGAAACCATATATTTATTTGAACTAATTAAAAAGTTATGTAACAAATGTTTGTTAATTATCCGACATGCGACGATTAACCCTCGGCATTGTGTTCCCCTGGCCGTAAAGCTCACCCGTACCAACAGCATTCAACCTTCCACGGCTTTTTCAATGTAGTTCTGTACGAATTAGGATCAAGCACCGTGTACATATTTGGTATGTGTAATATTACATGTACAAGTATTTGAGATATGCATTTAAAATACACTGAGTATATTGAATTCAGTTATATGTTAGGAGTGCATATCTCAATGGTATTTGAATAAAATCAATTTCAGTACTTTAAATATTTGTATTTTAAACATTGAACACGTACAATTTTGACTACTGTTTTTCGCAATCAAATACGATTTTGGCACTGTTGGTTGCGACAATAAGCATCGACAAAAAGTAAGTAAAGTAAGAACAAGAAGTGAACAAGATGGGTATAAGTATTTACATTTTCATTGGATGTTTTTATTTTTAAATGCGACGCGCATTCCAACATACTTTTTGAAAAACCTTTGTAAATTAAACTAATCCTTTGAAATTAAACTCACACTAGATACAACGTTTTTTTTTCTCATGTTGTACTGGCCTATCATATGCCAAATAATGTTTAGTTCTTAGGCTGAAGCCTTGTTCTCATATAACCTCCATTGTAATTCAGTCCCTGCGCACGCTGCGATTAATTTCTCACTCAACTCAACATTTTATCATTCATCACATTTGTTTTACGACTGTATTCTACCCATGTGCGCTCCATACTTGAATATGCCCATATCTAGCATAAATCTCCATGCCTATTTCAGCGAGTGAAAATATTTAGCGCATAAAAAAACGATTTGTACGACCAACCTACGGTAGATATTTTGGTCAGAAATGCCCTTATGAATATAATTTGAATTTAAACAAAATAATGTTAGGCAGCCTTTTTGAGAACAAGTCTGTTCGATTAATTGGTATGTTTTTTACAAAGGTTGATTTGTGGTTTAATAGATAGCTCCACTCTACTTGCTTCTTTAGACTTCCACATTACCGTTACTACGAATTCTCTGATGTTAGACTTTTTTATTCAGGTATTCAACATTACTTTTCACCGATTTCGCGGATCCTTCATGTCTTGAACATCGAGACCAATTCTGACATGTTTGCACAAATATTTTAAAAATCGCAATTTAAACATGTTAATTCAAGTCTGAGTATGATATTAGGTATGTTTAGAAATATAGGCAGGTGTATTATTTTGCCATGTATATACATTTTTCAAATTTTGTATATAGTTGTCTGGCGATTTACCGATAAGGCCTTTTAGCTGTTGTTAAGCATGGCAAAAAATAATTATTCAATTGTATTAAATAACGTTTAAAGTGCTTGATTCTTGGTACATGTAGTAGACTCCACTTTTTAAATGAGGGTGCGGTCTTGTATATGTAGAGTTAAATTTAAATTAAAAATGTCAAACAATGGGAACAAGAAGTATTTGTAAAGGTACTTTCGTTTGATCAAATACCATTCGTTTTATTTATATCTTGTGTTTAAATACGTTTCTAGAAAATGTTATTGGGCATATGTTTAAATACATCCTTTCTGAAGTAGTGTGTGTTTCTATCTCGATATATTCATGCAAGTAATTTGCTTATCCCTGACATTTACATGCGTAGTTTATAACTGGAATGCACTCATCATAAATCTAGTACGTTTCTATCACAAAATTAAATGTCCACCTCAAATTTTTGTTGTTGTTTTTTTTGGCTTTTTTTTAAGATTTAGATACGTCACATAATAAACTTTGTATCAACACTGCACCAATCACGGTTTTTGAAATCAAACGTTATTCACACAATATAAATAATTAAGAGCGAGCTATGATAAGTAAACGTCAAAATTATTGCTTACTTTTTATTCCTCAAGCTCAATATTACGTGCACTCTGTAACACCAGTTATATACAATGCTACAAACTAATCATTTGCTTTACCTTGCAATGCAAACAATTAAGCCTTTACAACTCAGTGAAATAATCTATTGAGTGCGAGACTAATTTTATTCTTTATTCTGCAGGTCAACTTTGGATGATTAAATGGAAGCAATTTTTACTCGTGTGCCCCTAACTTGAACAAAACTAGTCGTACTATAAACTCATAACTGCCTCAGAGAATATATATCTGTTTTTGTTCTTGCTTTTTGTTTGGAAGAACCAGTTAAACGCTTTCACTAGTTTCGCTGTAATATACATATGAAAACTTGAATGCAGGTAGTAGCAGGGCAGTTTATTTTTGTGGCAATGCAAGTTAGAGGTTTACAGTTTCTAAACACAATAATTACATAACATAAGATCGGAGCCGGTTTGCATCTGTCCAAATACCCATCCACGCTAAGGTAACCGTGTGCCCGCGTTTTTGTTTTTTTCTTTTTTTTAGTTGGATGAACATTACAAAGTCTATACACCTTTTGAAACCTAAATATTATATAGAAACACTGCTTCGGTACTTTTTTGCGGTTACTAATTAACATTCTCAATAACCCGCAGAGCGTGAAGTTTCACAATCCGCTTCTCGACAACCTGATGAGTGTGGTGTCATACAAGCGTTGGAAGGTCATCCGTTCTGTTTCAACCCCAGCATTTTCCAGTGCAAAACTGAACAAGGTAACGAACATGTTTTCTTATTCAAATATTTCCAGTTATTCGCACAATTTCGCGCTGATTACTTTAAGAGGTCCTACACTGATAATACTAGGGGCGGGAGCCCGGTCGTACTCTGTCACACAGAGGCAAACGTGTTCATTTTACTTAGAATTTATGCCTGGTAATTTTTTTAATGCTTGTAGACTAGTTTCCTGAACTACAATGCTTTATAATTATGTCTAAGAATCATAGTTTGTTCCCTGTGTATATAACCTAAATGCGATATAAATACCCCATTCAAAAGCACTATAACCTGAGAGGTCTCTTGGCATCTTGAGGGTGAGGCAAATTTTTTTAGCCTTATTAATAGGGTTATATTTAGTGCCACATTCAATAGTTGTTTCTTTGTGCACTTAGCACAGCCTGCATTTTGTATGAAGTGCACTGTCTAGTTATTTTAACAATATTAGTTTAGTGCTGCACCGGTAGCAAACCTTACTGGCCTGTACCAGGAAGGTTTCTATCTAGGCTTTCGAAACTGCCCTAGCCGGTACCTCACAGCGAAATAAGATGCAGATTTTGTCTAAACATGAAATAATAGGCCTAGCTTTTTTGTCCGTATGGAGGACACTTTCTTCAAGAAATTTCGGGGTGAGAAAATAGGACTAGCCACATTCATCATAGTATTAGGGAGTATAAGCAGATCGTGCAGATCGCTCCAATACCGATACGTGATACTCCGCTGTCGCCTTTGCGCGCGCTTCGTATCGCAATCGTGTATCGTTACTGGAGGGATCGGAACGATCTACTAAAACTGTCTGTCGACAAACAGTTTGAACAAGCGACATTTTGAGCTACTCCGCTCATTGAAAGCCAAGAAAAGATTTAATCAGGCACAAACTTTGTGGCCTCAGTAGCTCCAATACCTTAAGCACTAATCATAAATTTAAAAAAAAAAAAGCTCGACACAGTGTTAACAAAGAGGCAATCTTCGGCGCTGATTGCCTCTAGCGAATTGAAAGAATCAATCAAAACCAAGATCATGTTATATTTTGTTAATGTGGGACAACCACTTAGATGAAAAAACTTCAGTGTGATATGTATTCTTTTGCAAATAAGATTTAAAATAGTGGCGATAACTTTAACTCTTTCGCGCAAAGTAATGCCAGCTTCCAATTTGTCTTTCATTGGTATGTTGGTCGGCGTTTTGCTATGCGTAAGTATGTAAATATTAATGGAGCGTAACCACCTTGAAAGGCATAGTTCGTGCTTAATTGCTGAAGTTATAATTTACATGCTACATTAAAACAATTAACAATTTTTTTTCAAGTCTGCAGTTATTCATGTTACACGCATTATAATGATAAATGCACCTTGTTGGTAATTTCTTTTTTTTTTCAGATGTTTTCCCTTATTGAAAGCTGTATTGATGTCACAAAAAGACACCTTATTGATGCGGCAGAAAAGGAACAAGATCTGGAGCTTGGCCAGTCAGTGAACCTATCATATATGATAGTAGTTTTTTACTAGTACAATGTTGCCTATAGTCATAGGAAATCTTAGTTGAAGACAACTCACTCAACTTTTCGGGTGGAAACGGGGCGAAAACTTTATAATATAGGAGCCAGCACACTACATACCATTGTTCCTGCACACGTTATACAAAATAGCACGAACACGGCGCTGCTTTTTCTTTAGAAAGTAGAGTTTGTAAACCATAAACCAATACATTACATTTTTTATCCCATGCACCATTTCTCGCTGATTCGATTTATAATTGACCATGCTAAAAATATTAAAATTTGCCTCGAATGTAATGCTTCACTCGAAGAAATTCTTAAATTAAACGTTTAATCCGCATTAGAACGATCTGTCAGAAGGCCAATCTTACTCAGAAATATGTCCCCCGGAACGACACGTCAGTTCGCACGTCTTCTTTTAAAACTAATTGTTTAGTACATCGTTCATTTATTAACTCAGTTGAATAAAGATCACCCAATAACACGTACCAGAAAAGTATGGATCATTTCCACTGGACGTCGCCTCTCAACATTAACTAAATATTGTACCCGTGTTAAAGTGAGACTTTTTTTTCAGCTTTTACGGAAATTACACACTCGATGTCATCGCCCGGTGCGCATTTGGAACAACTATGGATTCCCACTCTGATCAAACCAACGATTTTGTGAGGATGTCAAAGATAATTAGCGGTGGAAAAAAGAACCTCGCGTTAGTTTTGACATGTGAGTTGGCTGCATCAGTCTTATAAGAGTTATTACATCAAAATATTTAGAAAAATTAACTCCTCGAGGTCTGTGCTTTCCGCCTAAGGATAATGCTTGTTAAAGGCGTAAAGGTAAAATTCAGAAATGTGCCACATGTGTTCTTGTTCAGTTAATTAAACTTACAATTGCTACATTTTGTTAAATTAAGAATTTTGTTTTTATTTGATAATAAAAATAACAAACGCCTTAGCTATGCACGAAAACAAGTTATGCGTCAATGCAGGGGAGCACATTTGCGTAATACTTTTGCAGAAAAAAAATTCAATGACGGCTTGAAGCTGAGCTAGTTGGTTCATTGCTTGTGGTGTGTATGGTGCCAGTTGAACATGAAGGAAGGTTACATACAGAGTGAAACAAACGGGGCAAATACACATAAAAGGCGAACCAGTTGTGTTGTTTGCCTTTTCTGTATCTTCCTATATGTATCCTTCCTTCATGTTCGGCTGGACGCCATATATAAGATATGAACAAATACAAGATATTTTATTAAACTGTCCATTTTGTCCGAATTTTCTTTGTAGTCGTGTTTCCTGCTCTCGCGAAGCTGCTGAAGTTAAAACTATTTAATGAGGAATCAGTGATGTATTACAAAGATCTCAGCTCCGCAACGATGGAAACAAGGCGTAAAACCAAAACGGTAAGTGCTGCGGGATATGTTCTATATATCCGTTTGGCGGTATGCCAAAAGGGCAGAAGAGAAGGTCAATATTCCAATAAATAAATCATGGTTCCACAGAGGTTAGCAGGCAACACGCTCACTTCTGCACCAGTATCCACGAAAGCGGCAGGCCTGTAAGGGTTTCGCGGATATAGAACAGGCCACTTGTGCGATTGCCGGGATTACTTGCCCCCTCTAGTGTCGGGTCTCTACATTTCCCCTCCGTGAACAGGGGCAGCTTCGCAGCGAGACTGCGAAGCTGCCCCTGGGTGACACCGTCGCAGTCGGCTTCGTTTGCGGAGATGCCAAAGGGCAGAGGCGTTGAAACCGCTGGCGCTATTTTACCGCTTAGCTTTGGCTTGAAACCATGTACAACAGTGACGTTTCGCGCTCCGAAGCGCCTACTACGAATCTTTAATTGAACTTTGACGGCATGGTCTTACTGTATTTGCGTCGAGAGTCAATGTTCCATCTAGACAAGTCTGAACAAATAAAACCAATGTAAAAGATTTAAAAAAAATTATTTTAGGTGATCAGCTAACCAAGCAACATTATACTCTTTCTTAGTGACCGCCATGACGCCAACATAACCCCAGGGATAGAATACCCCTGACCAATGTTCCTTTCTTTCAATTTTGAACCAATTAAAAAGCAGTCTGTATAAAAGGTACTGTATATAGGACGGTCGATACTCTCTTAACTTTCAAATGTATCTCAACTAAGTAAAACGTCTGCTTACCAAAGTTATTCTTCAAGCTTCTCCAGGATTTCGCTTTTACGAATCTGAAGGAAGGGTGTGTTCCTTTAATTGATCAATAAATAAATAATAAAATTCCGTTACATTAGCACTAAATTTTGAACAGCAGGTGTAAGAGGCGTTTTGAATATAAAAAAACTGATACCAGTCATCGTCAAAAGTGCAACAAAATAGCGTTTAAACAAAATTTAGGCTCCGGTCACGCTGTGAAGGAGGTTGGACAGCGAAGCTGTGGTATCAGTGTATCAGCTGCAGCGATTGCCTACTGAGCTATAAGTCCTTCTTATGGTAAACACCACCAGGAGGTGCTCCAGTCTTTGAAGTCCCAGAGAACTTGCGGTTTATAAAAATAATGAATGACGAGTTGCCATAGCAACGAGCCTACCTCAAGACCGCTGCTCTAAATGTAGATGAAACGTTTAACTACCAGTTCTCCGGGTGAACGCCAACAGACCGAAGAGGTGCGAGATTTGTTGAAGTGTTTCGAGTATTCTTGTAAACCAACTTGCCTCCTTCAAGATGTAATATCGTAAAGCCGAAGGATCTGGTTAAATCTCCGACTCCGTTGTCCTTGTAGCATTTATGCTTTTCAGCACTGGTGACATAAGAAAGTTCAAGAGGCTTGCAAAGACGGTGCGACCGGAAATCACTTGGGACGCAAGCGGCAGTTCATGTTTCTAAACAGTAAAAGGGTCTATACCAAATGACTGACAAAAGAAAAGTAACTATAATCTACCAAAACTTTTATATATAAAAGACTGTACGCTGCCGTTGCGACGGCAGCTTATGCAACCGCAATCTTTACTGAGAAACGCATGCGGGGAGCGCTACGTGTTTTGCATTGTTAGCGGAATTAGTGACGTCACTCCCCACTTCGTACTCTACCGTTGCCGAGGCAGCATATGCGACGGCAAGTTTCAGTGAGATACGCATGCGAGGCGCGCTACGTACTTATGATTTATCATGTGGTTTTTACACTTTTGTTTTTTTTTATTGAAACAAGTGTCAAAACCACGTGATAAGAGATAAGGCGCGCGCGAACGGTGGTAAGACGCGCGCATGGGTTTTCTGTCGACTACTGTTTCGTCGACGAACACGAAAAACCCCACCGCTGTAAAAGAAAAAAAAAATACTCCGGGCCATGAACATTTTTATGCAAACTACTGTGGGTTGCCTTTTGTATTTCCTAAAATCTGCCCATACAGACGGGGTCACCAAGGACGTACTTGGATATTAGGGGCAGTCAAAACTGCGAATCAATCTTACTTGTGTGGGACCAGTGGCCGAGTGGGCTAGCGCACACCAGCTCGGAGCACGTGGAGCGAAAGCTTGCGCTGCAGAACCCAGGATACCGGGTTGAATCTCCACCCCTGCCCGTTTCGATCTTGATGAGCATCGTACCGGCGTGCATTCGTGTATCACTACTGCGTGATGCACGTTAAAGACCACAGGCTAGTTGTTGTACTGCACTGGCTGAATGTCTCATCTACAGCGAGTGACTCGTCGGAACTTTTAAATGGCTGACCAACTACACGCTGTCTAAATATCCACACAATCCCTATTATTATTATTTAATCCCACTTGTAATGCCTCAAGACTTTAAGCTCCCGCATAAATATCCCCTTTCTGTCTTCATTCCCATCATTGCCGGGATTAAAGACTGAGCTTAAAATACTAAGCATAAATCGCATCAGAGGTTACACAGGGCTACGCTCATTTAGAAGAATGATGACTCGCATATTCGAGATTAGATAAAGCTTTCCTCAGACATAAGCCGTCTGAGAGTAACATATTTTAGTCGTCTATGAAAGTAACTAATCATTAATTAATTTTAGGGCTCACGATAAAACTAATTTTTTGCGATTAATTAAAAATGATGTACAGTGATGTCCAAAAAAAGTACTAATGACTTAACACCAAACGTATGACTGCAGTTGCCCATTTGAGAAACGTAGCTGCACTCTCCTGCAAGATTCGCATAGATGTGCGACACAGGAGAGTTGTCTCTTTCTGGACGTGCTTCAGCAAAAAACAAAGGATATGCCATCAGGGTTTGCTTATTCAAAATTTCAGGATGACACTTGCATTCCAATTTCCAGTGAACAGACTCAACGCGGCGGAGTATTTTGGTTGTTGACGTCAGGATATTCTTATGCTTTCTGTTGTGATTTCATTGCGCTCTTTCAAGGTACACGCTTGAAGATAGTCGTATTGATGGCAACGCGTGCGATAAATTCCGGCGCTCAAAACCGGCAAAAGAATTGTAATCATTTGCTTTATTCGTTCTATGTTTTCCACCATTAATGGGTGCCTCCAGTTATGTTTGGTCAAAGCTCTTAGTCACCGTTTCTTAAACCATGACATCAAAGAGGACCATTTCACTGTCTTGTAATCAAAAACGTTTGATTTTCAGAAACAAGATGACTTTCTGCAAATCATGATAGACGCACAAGAAAGGAACAGGACACTTGATGTGTCTCAAGGCGGAGAAGAGGATGCTGTCAAATTGTTCGACATTGATTCTAAACTTACAGATGAAGCTCCACTCTCATCTAAAAGTATGCTAAATTTGATTGATACCAACTTGAATTTTCCTATGTGCTCTGGGGAAGCAAAGAGAGTTATTTCGAGTGATGTTAGAAAGTCTCAGACGCATGTGCTATGTTATATAAATATTTCAATAGAACTCGGCTGTTAGAATTTATAAAAATTACCCAAGAAATTAGTGCGTGTAACCATAAAAAGATTATGAGCATAGAGGCGATAATAAACATCACGCCGACTACAGCAAAGAACAATATCCCAGGTAGCACGCCAGAGAAACGGCTAACTTGCCACAAGCTTGTCAATCCAAGGGGCCTAGCTTAGGCCTAATGCAGTTTTGCTCCAAGGCGTTACTTAGTGCCAGAGTTTTTGTTTTTTTTATGAGTCAAAAAAAAATAATAGAAACGCCAAAAAAATCAAGCTTTTTGTTGTGCTCTGTTCCGAAGAGTTACAGCACAAATAGGGGTTGACTAAAGACACAGGGGAAATAATGTTCACACCTGTTCGTTCCTGGCATCATACATTAAATGTGTACACTGTTTTACTTTTATTGAGTTAATGTGGCAATAAAAACAATGTATTCGAAGTTTAATTTACATTCGACTGGATGAAACGGTATGGGCTTTGAGCGTTAATGAAAAAGTGAAAATTCTAGGTTACCTAAGATACTATGCTTTCAAGCAAGCTTCAGTAAGTCTCGCTCAAAAGATTTCCCCTAGTATTTCAAGTAAACAATCTGTGTGCGTTTACTTAGATTGGAACTTTACAATTCCCAGTTAAAGTAGATTTAAAAACACCATAAATATAACAAAAGTTTGCCTAAATTATCGCCCTGATAGTTTCAATAAGCCATTGAAAAACAAAATCATGTATTTCAGCCTGAGTTCATAAGTGTGGTTGTGTCCTGAACACCAATGAGTCTTACGTCAGAGTGACAAAATTGTGCGCGTTTGAACAAGAAATCAAGTGATTAAACGAAAAAGATATGAACAAAAACGACGCTTTTGTAATTGCTTTTAGGAAGCATAAGGATATTCTTCCCTTCACTTGCTATATGGTGAACAGTCAGGCAAATAACCCTACTTTTGCAACTAATTTTGTTTCAGCTCTTAGCGAAGAGGAGGCCCTGTCGCAATGCATGATGTTTATTTTAGCTGGCCATGGCACAACATCATCGGTTATTGCGTTCTCCCTTTACCTTCTGGCATTGAATCCAGAGGCACAAAACAAGCTCAGAAAGGAAGTTGATGTGTGCGTCAAAGAGAATGTAAGTTATTTGTACTATCTTGTTTTATTAGAAACATCTTAATTTAATTTCCAAGTCTTTGCATAAACTTGTTAGATCTGAAACAAATTATTCTGTATCAAGTCGGTTTTATATTCAAAGGTAGGGAACCCAGTGCACAAGTTGTGGATTGTGACTGGAGTGCGTTTTTATATATTCTGCTTCATGCACATTTAACTACTCTACTGTTAGCATTAAATGCATCGCATATGTATGACAACCTATATTCTCAAAATGAACTTTTAATATGATGATAGATATACTAATCTTTTGTATTTAGGGTCCAAAACCAAGCATGGATGCAATTGATAAGCTACAATATCTTCACGGGGTCGTTTCCGAAGCATTAAGGATATTTCCTCCAGCTTCCAGGTAAGCCTTTATAGTTAAAATGTATTTCTCCAAATTTTGCAACCCCGCCTTCAATAGCTAAATCCAGCAGCACCTTGAAAAATTGTTGACTTTTATTAATTTAAATGAAAATTTAATTTCCATACATTTTTCGCAATGTAGTGCGTGTGGCCGGCACTTTCTTCTTTATCTATTCTATATTACAACACATTGCAATTATTAGCAGGTTTACCTACATGCACTATATGTGTCTGAACCGTCCATACAAAATAATAATAGTTGTTATTTTTTGTTTCATATATTGTTATCATATATTCGGACGTTAACTTCGTAAATGTCAAAATATCGCCCTGTCTATGTGTCTATGATGTAAATTAGTACATTTTTGTTATAATCCAGCACTGTGCTTTCACATTTCCCGTTCAGATTGGAGAGAGAAACAACCGAAGAGTATGTACTCGGCAATACAGGAATCAAAGTGCCCAAAGGGTGTGTTGTAGCCGTGCCTGTCTGGGCGATCCACCACGATCCGCAGTACTTTCCAGATCCACATAGCTTCAAACCTGAAAGGTATGAAGACTTAAAATATGGGACTATTGAATAGTTCACACTAACACACACCGTACAATGTTTTAGTATTATTGTCTTCACAATGACAATGACGTTTCTATTTTCTGTTTGTTTGTTTTTTGTGGCCAATCTAAACACTTTTTTTAGTTGCTTTTGTTGTAAATTTGGCAGGTTCAGCAAGGAAAATGTGGATTCAATTCCGCCTTACGTTTATTTGCCATTCGGCGCCGGTCCAAGAAACTGCATTGGCGTCAGACTCGGTCTCCGTGCTGTCAAGATGGCTTTATTTCATTCTATCTGCAATGTCGAGTTTGTACGAACTGCGAAAACAAAGGTAAGTTATTTCTATACAGTCGACTTTAGACTTAACTGGTACGCTGAAACGAGCTTTTATTTCCCACGTGACGCTAGCCTGGCGAGAGTTGACGGTATTAATTGGTCACGTGGGGGCGGGCCCATTTCAAAGCACAGGAATAGGCGGGGGGAGAGAGCACAGCAGATTTCGAGCTCGGGCGGGTACCGTGTCAGATAACGAATGGACTGAAACAAAAATCAATGAAAGCAGATTCTGTACTGATTAGTCTGCTGGCATGATAAAGCATGTATATTTTTTTTACTATGTGGCACGAATTAAACTGGTGTAAGTGTGCGACTATGCACGAATCTATTCATCTGATGCAAAAAGTGAAATTAGTAAGCGCTGTACATGGCAAAAAAAAAGTCTAGGTTCACTCAGCTTTCTTGCAGAAAGCGAACCACAGACCCGGAAACAACCCATCACGCCGAGCAATGAAAGGATACCGATGAAAACGAAGTTGGAAAACCACTAAAGAGTAAAACATCTAGGGATAAAGACCGACAGTACAGTTCTTTCAGATTATTATTTCGCGTTTTCTTGGATCATCTTTACCAACCTTCTCTAAGTACATTTTCTAATGACAAAACTAAAACTTCGACAAGATCTAAAAAAGAAATGTGTATTCGGACACTAAGCAAAACATCATGCTCAATGTCCCTGCGCACTCTTTTCTCGCAATGATTCTGATCTTCCTGATGCGCTGGGATCCTTCTATTGCTCGCCTTGAATGACTGTTCTCGTACTATGCAGAAACGTGAATTCAGCCACCATTTTTGTCAATAGGCATCTGCTTAATAAACAAATGTAGGTAAAGAGATCTTATCTTTATTCGAATTTTTATGTATGAGGTGTTAACGTTTGTGCTATATGAACAATTTTTATATTAGTTTTGTAAACTTATAATAATTGTGTAATATCTTAAAAACCCTGGTCTCTTAAAGTAGTGTTCAGTGGCTATTGAGTGATACTAACGTACCACTCTAATCTCATTTGGTTAAGCTACTCTTCTCTAAAAAAAAATGTAATCCTACCCATCAACATCTGTTGCCAAATTTACAAATTTTGGAAATGAAAGACAAAAGAAAATATTATGACTCAAATAGGTCGTTCATAACAAATTAATCTATGCGTGAGCTTTATCTGTTTTTCCACAAACTGAGTTATTAGATTCAAATGAATACTTAAGAAAATCTAGTTTTCTTGTCACCGAATGGGTTCTTTTGATGATGATGACCTATACAGCGAGCTTCTAAACCGCCACCACTTTTAAACGAATATGAATCGTTGTGACACTGTTCTTTTTATTTAGGTGCCACTGGAACTCTTCAAAGGCTTCGGAGTTATCAGTTCGTCGGACATCACAGTTGGAGTGCGAAAGCGCACATCATGAACATCCTAGTCACCCGCTAAGCATTAAACCCTGAATAGTAAATTGCCAAACATGTAATTTGTAACTCAATTTTAGTAAAGACTAAGGTGCCGGCGTGCACCATAGTCGAAAATTAAGGGAACGTAAACATGTAACTGATGTGCTGATCATGGCTTTAAGAATTAAAAAAGTAAACTTTTTCTCACAAATTACATTGCTCAAAAAGTAAATCCATAAGAACACTAAGACCACATAAAAATGCGTGTTATATTCTCAAAAAGCCGTTCATCGTATTATGTATATTGACTACACGTATTGACATGTTGAATTTATAAACTGTTTTACATTGTAATATTCAAATTCTAAAATTTAAAAACCTAACATGTCTTATAGCATTTTTCAATGACCCTAAACTAGGGTTCGCAAAAAACACCCTCAAATGTGTTTGAAAATAAAATGTTGGGAAATGTGTTTGAAAATAAAATGTTGGTATACATAATAAAGGCATATCAGAATCAGAATTATATACATTTTCAAATGGTATTAAAAAATTATCAATAATACATTTGAATACCAGGTGAAAACATTCCTGGAAATAAAAATAGAAGAATGCTCGGGCAAACCTATACGAATACTGAAAGAGGGGGCTTCTGAAACATTTCGGTATGTTCTGATAAGCGGCAACGCTGGTCGGTCTCATCTGCTAGTGTATACCAAGAGTCTACAAACAAATATTGAAGATAATGAATATATAATAATATTGAAGATTGAAGAATTGAAGATAACAAGCAAAGTGAGTATGCTCTATAACAGGGGTCGGCAACCCACGGCCCGCGGGCCGCATTCGGCCCGCGGGGCAGTTTTATCCGGCCCCCGGCACGGACCTTAAAGAAGGACCCCCCCCTTTGCAGCTTACTCACAGACCCAAGCAGCACTCGGAAAACCAAGAACCACAAAAGGTGTTAGACAGGAAAATGGAGCGCTACCACGTAGCATTGTCCGGCTTCACTTCTTTTTTGCCTTTCTTTTTGTCTCCCGCAGCCACGCCCCCTCCCCCCCCCCCCCCCCCCCCCCCCCCCGTCTTTCCGACTTGCCGTCCGGCCCCCTCCGTGTCAACTTCGTGACGACTCGGCCCGCCGCTGCAAAAGTTTGCCGACCACTGCTCTATAAGATGCAACTTGAATTTTGACGATCACGTTTTTAAGTCAGAAATAGACTTCAGCAGAATTCACGGGTTCGCTTTTAGCGGCCTGCTAAACGAAACAAGCCTGTCTTTAATAAGTTTAAATAAAGTTGCGTAAAAAATAAAGGGGATCTCTTTTTTTTTTCTTTTTTTTCAGTCGCTGCCTTCATTATGTGACAAATGTCACCCCGCTGCCGTATTTTTCTCTTAAATCTTTATTCCAGAAGGCGGTACTTGAACATCAGGTTACTTTAGATCTAGCGAAAAACTATATATTTAAATTTATATTGAGCGCTACCCACTGAATGCGAAAAGGCATCATCATCGCAACCATAACCAAATTATTATTTTATATGCCTGGGAAATTTCGAATCCTTTTCGCGATGTGCTCATCGGTTAAACTGAGAGGATGCAAATTGAATTATCGAAATTATTTTATATGATGTATGGGGTATGATGGAGAGGACCGTACCAATGCAATCAAAAATCATTTTCAATTTAAGCCTCAATATTTCCAAAAAAAAATGTCTACCGTTAAAATTACATAACATATACCCGAAGAAAGCGAGAAAAAACAAACGTAGTTTTTTTTTGTAACCGCAATATTTGGAACTGTCAAACAGTTTCTTTAAAAAAACAAGCTTAGCATGTACAATCAAAGAAAGGAATTGAATACCCAGAAATATTGTTTCAACTTTTCGAAAGGCTGTTTTTAAAATTTGTTATAAACCGTTTTATTTCTTTTTCTTTTTGATTCTTGAGAGCCGCAATATTGAATTTACACGTAACTGGGTTAGAGCACTATAGCAAATCACTTCATTTCCAAACTAGAAGACTCTAGAATTAAAGGTATTAGCGCCATTAGTTATACTTTTTCCTTGGCTCTACAGTTTTTGTAGTTATGCTTAACTTATTTACATTTTGTTTGTCGCCCAGCCAAGCTCTTTCTTACTTCAACATGGCGACCATAACACGAAAACTGTGTGTACCAACGTGATTAATGCTTGCTTTCCAATCTTATGACCTAAATAAGGCTTGTCTTTCTCTGACACTTGAGTTTATTATTGCTTTTATCTTCGTACGTTCGTGGAGAACGCTGCTACCGAATGTATTTTGTACACTCTCCTGTAACAACGCTATTTGGCCACTATAAGATAACCTGAATAGACAAATGCACAAACCTCAGTACCAGTTTTTTTCTTCCTAAGTCACCTTCAGACGTCGCCATGTTGATGTACAATCCGGACTCATCTTTTAGCAGTGATATCACGACGTCACGGTGTAATGAACGGGTGTTCTTTTCTTTGTTTGCTTTAATCTAATTACAGAAACTTTCCTCCACCTACGTAAATAGGATCGCAATGTTACCCTTTCAAAGCTCGTGTCGGCAGCGCCCCTTGAGCCTCTATAATCTACAAGAATAGGAGAACTTATTTACCGTTTCAAAATAAAGAAGGGGGCATTTAGAATCAGAAATAAAATGTTTCGAACCAAGCTTAGTGTTCAGGGTAGCAAAGCCTCTGATTTCCCATTCACAGCCACCAAAGAAAACAAAAGTCAGCTTGATGTCACGTTTGAACGGCGAAGATTTCTTGACAATTGCTACCTGATACAGCGCACTTATGACAGCTTGAGAGCGCCTATGGTTCATAACATGTGACGCCGAAAAGACCCCGCCTGCATTAAAATCGCACGAATGGACTGTTGTCGACGGCGAATGTAGATTTACCTTTAGCAGCTGGCGACGCCGAAATCTGCGAAGCGCATCGGTTCAAACCAGTAAAGAGCTTTCTACACAAGTTCATTGTGAGGCGCCTGGCGCTCGACTTCAGCGAAAGTTACCAGAGATCACTTGTTTTGCGGCCTTTAATTCCACCTGGCAAATTTTACGGGAGAGTAATGTTAGGTATCCATTTAAGGGGCCTGTCACTTATTTCATACCTTGAGAACGTCGTAAGCAAATCTCCATATAACAAATATATATTTCATCTGGCAATATCATAAAATCTTGTTAATGAGTACTTTAGTTTAAAAGAAAATTAGTCGACCTAGGTTGGTCCATTAAAATATTTCTTCAGAACTTAATTTGTTTATTTATTTAAATAAAACAGGCCGAGAAAATAACAGTTTTTTTTTAATATTATCTACGTCATTAATTATAGGAGACTTCCAGTCTGTGAAGTTCGATAGTTGGTGTACGAAACCCAAACTGTAAACTTGCCACTTCATATGTTTTTCGTGATTCAGTACATTTTTAATCGTGTAGTGGACCTGCTTCTTTACTAAGCACTCATGCATTATAGTCTGTTACAATATAAAAGGAGCAGTCGAATCTCTGAGGGGGATCGGTGGCCGAGTGGACTAGCGCACACCAGCTCGGAGCACGTGGGCGAGGGCTCGCGCTGCAGAACCCAGGGATCCTGGGCTCAATCCCCACCCCTGCCCGTTTCGATCTGGATGAGCGTCGTACCGGCGAGCGGTCGTGCATCACTACTGCGTGGTGCACGATAAAGACCCCAGGCCATTGGTTGTACTGCACTGGCTATATTACTCATCTAAGGCGAGTGACTCTTCGCAAGTTTAAATAACTGACCAGCTACACGCTGTATAAATATCCCCACAACCCAATTTTTTTCGAATCTCTGACATGAGCTCGAGCCCTTCCATACCACTCGGTGCACGCGCAGCCAAAGCCGACGGCAGGCAAGAAGCGCGTGCTGGACGCGTAGCTTTTCCAGCTCTTTATTTATTTATTTATTTATTTATTTTTAGCAACTAGCGCCCGGGGTACGGCCACGGTAATCATCTCTGTGCACCAGAGCAGTTGGTGCACCGCCGAACCTGGCCGAAATTGACAATTGGACGTAAACAGACGCGTCTGGTATTCATAAAAGTGCTCGCAATTCAGGCTCGAAACCACCTCGTGGTTCTCCAAGTGACTCAGCACCATTGTGTCATTTGCTGTATTGCACAAGAAAGAAATTTGTGTCAAAAAATTAAGCAAAAATGGCATGAAACAGCAACACAATCGCGTGCACGTTGGAACCAAAACCAACAAAATTGAAGCAACCTCATGGCGGCGAGTGCACCAGCGCCCTCTACCTGACGGTCAGCCAACTACTAAAATGAAAAGGACTATACACGGAAACGGCGCCTAATGGCGCGTTCACTTTGGAAGCGGATCCGCAAACGCGAAGCGCATCCGCGCGTTCTCAACCGCAAATGGGGATCGAGCGGTTGGAGCGCGTTTTTGTCAACCGCTTCGGGACCGATTTCTCCCAACCGCTTTCACGAACCGCAAAGCGGCAACCAATCACAACGCGACACTGACGTGACGTCACCGACTTTCGAAACAAGATTGCACCTGTCGCTGGTGAGGCGTCCAAGGCGCTGTAGTCCTAGCGTTACCGCAGACCAATCAACAGAGAGACGTGATGCTTACGTCCGTCACTTGAACCGGCCACGAAAATATTTGACTCATAATCTTAACGGGCTTCGCACAGGTGATTTGGTTCGGGTAAGAGTTTGTTTATTATTCCGGGTGCCACAGCCCGAAGCTCGCTACATTGTTAGTAGAAACCCGTCGGAACCCGCCCCTGATCGACCGAAATGTCAGCTTTTGTACCCACTCAGATGGTCGCCTGAACTATTGAAAGCTTTCGACACCGTGCATGACCACCACGAAGGCCAATAGAGACGTATTGAGCCTGATTGCGTAGCGGTCGTGCATCACTACTGCGTGGTGCACGATAAAGACCCCAGGCCATTGGTTGTACTGCACTGGCTATATTTCTCATCTAAGGCGAGTGACTCTTCGCAAGTTTAAATAACTGACCAGCTACACGCTGTATAAATATCCCCACAACCCAATTTTTTTCGAATCTCTGACATGAGCTCGAGCCCTTCCATACCACTCGGTGCACGCGCAGCCAAAGCCGACGGCAGGCAAGAAGCGCGTGCTGGACGCGTAGCTTTTCCAGCTCTTTATTTATTTATTTATTTATTTATTTTTAGCAACTAGCGCCCGGGGTACGGCCACGGTAATCATCTCTGTGCACCAGAGCAGTTGGTGCACCGCCGAACCTGGCCGAAATTGACAATTGGACGTAAACAGACGCGTCTGGTATTCATAAAGGTGCTCGCAATTCAGGCTCGAAACCACCTCGTGGTTCTCCAAGTGACTCAGCACCATTGTGTCATTTGCTGTATTGCACAAGAAAGAAATTTGTGTCAAAATATTAAGCAAAAATGGCATGAAACAGCAACACAATCGCGTGCACGTTGGAACCAAAACCAACAAAATTGAAGCAACCTCATGGCGGCGAGTGCACCAGCGCC